TTGTGATGTTTGCAAACTTTAAACTCTGATATTACAATAAATGAGATTTGTCTACAAAAAATAGATTTAAAATTAATTGAATCAAGATTTTTAAATGAAAAAGCCACTCCAATTTTGATTGTAAATTTTAAAGCATAAAAATGATTTAATTTGAGATAAAACAAAAGATTTTTAAGATTTTATGAATTCATTGATGTAATTGAAATAAATATATAGAGGATTTTATTAAAATTAGCTTATTTAATATTAAATTTGAGTTTAAAAGAGAAAAATGATCTTATTTTAATAATAATAAATGAGTATAGAATTTTGAGTGTTATTTTAAAATGACATATTGGTAATCAATTTAAATTAGGAAGTTGAATTAGAATAGTTTGTGTATATTTAAAAAAGATCCGAAAAATTATTAAAATGGGTTGCGGAAAAACCTCTAATATTTATGTAAAAGAAATTTTATAATAAATAAAGAACTTAATTGGAATTAAAATTTTTAATACTAGACAATGGAAAAGAAAACGGGAAGAATTATTTTAGAATAATAAGCATAGAATTAGATATTGGAAAGTAATATTAACAGCAGAATTTAATAATTATGAAGAGAAAGAATAAGTAAATAAGAGGTTAAAGTCAAGTGTAAGTTTTATTTCAAGAGATATTTAATTAATATATAAATTCTAAATTGAATGATCAATTTAATCCATTTAATTAGGCTAGTTATGATTCGATGATTTTGATAGTTTTGCTAGGAGAATATCTATGAAAGGTCACTCTGAATCATAAGAATCAGAAGAAGACAAAAAGAAACAAATTTTGAGATTACTAATGATATAGAATTTTATCACTTTATACTTTATTTACTGAGAATCTAAAGTTTAAACAACTAAAGAATTTAAGTTAAAAAGATATATATGAAGTAAATGCAGACCCTTTAATAGGAACTAGTGATGAAGATTAATTATTAATACCAAAATTCTATATTCAAATTATTAAAATTAAATAAGCTGATGGATCTTTTTAAAAAGAAGGAATTTTTAGCATTAATTTCTTTTACATTTATTATTTGGAGTTTAGTAATTTTAAAGAACTTGGTTAGGATTACCTTTTGCTATAAATGAAAAAGGAGAAGAAATATGTGATTAAAGTGAAAAACTTTATTAGTTTTTAAGTCAAATTTGGATGTATTCCTATATTTTAAATTAAGAATGCCTTGATTATTTTAATTAGGAATTTTGTAATAAAATCTATCAACCTTAATGTTAGTATTACATAACTTGATGACTTTGAATATTCAGATCATTTGTAAAGATTGAATTTTTATGAAATTAAATTTCATATATTTCTTCATATGAAGTTAATGATTTTATATAAATTTATGTCTATTAATTAATTAATTAAAATAATTATAAAAAGTCATTCAGAATAATCAACTAAATTACCATCTCTAAATTCTTATTTAATAAGATTATCAGCTCCATCTTTAAATGTTCCAACTCCAACTCTGACTCCACTTTTATATGATCCAGTATAAGAACAAAAGTTATAAGTAAAAACACCTTTGCCATCCATTCTATTTCTTGACCAATCTCCATTATATTTAAAATCTTTGTAATCAGCAATCCCATTCCCATGTATGCAATCATTCATCCATGATCCAATATATTTCAATCCATTTTTAAATGTTGCACTTCCTTACCCCTCTCTTTAATTAGCAATCCAAGAACCTTCATAAGTGTAGAGTGGATAAATTTATTTTCCTTAGCCATGCTTTTTATCACTTACCCAATTACCTATGTACTTAATACCATCTTCTAAATATTCTCCCATTCCTTCCCTAACATTTTCAATCCATTAACCAATATAATAATGATCTGGTCCCCAATGAAATTCTCCTTAACCATATCTTTCATCATTATCCCATTCTCCTTTATAATATTTTCCATCTGTCATAGTCATAATACCAAAACCTTTTCTAGTATTTCTACTCCAAGATCCAATATATTTTTTACCATCAGTCCAAATAAATGTACCTTCTCCTTCCATTTATCCATTAAAATACTATCCTTCATAAGAACAACCATCTTTTTATGTAAGTTTACCTTTTCCATGTTTAAGATTTTCATACCAATCTCCATAATATAGATCTCCATTTACATAACGATATTCTCCTTTACCATTTTTTTTATCATTAACCCATTAACCTTTAAATGAAGATCCATCTGGTAATAATGCAGTACCAAATCCATGTCTTTTATTATCTTTCCATTAACCTTCATATTTATTTCCATCAGGATTAATATATTCTCCTTAACCATTCTTTTTATCATTTTTCCATTCTCCAATATATTTTCTACCATCAGAAAATTAAAATGCTCCTTATCCTTCTCTTTAATCCATTTTCCATTATCCATTATAATATTCACCATCTGTCCATAAATACAGACCTTTACCATTAAACTTCCCCTCTTAAAATTCCCCTTCATAAATATTTCCATTCTTAAAAAAATATTTACCTACCAGAATTTGTCCTTCTTTAAAGTATCCTTCAAAATATGAACCTGATGCTAAAAATAACTTACCTCTTCCATGTTTAAGATTATTTTTCCAATAACCAGAATAAATATCAGCATTTGAAAATTTATGAGGCTACAACTTAATACAATCTGTATAATTTTAATCTTATAAAAACTTATAAGATCCATGCTTTTGTATTTATTATTATATTATAGGATGTATATCAGGTTCTTTATCAATTTTCTAAACTTCTAAATTAGAATGAATTGAAGATGTAACTTTATGTACACTACTAATTCTACTTCTATCTTTTCTTGTTGGAGACTCAGAAACTAGATTAATTGATTAAATTTATGTTGATCTATCTGTGAATATTAATATATTTTCAGTTATCTTTTCTTCCTTAAAAATCCTTGAATTTTATCTGCTATTGATTCGAACAGGAGACTAATATAAATCTATACGACTTTAGGACTTTCGAGGAGTTAAAAATACTGTAACAGTACTTTTTCGTTTTGTATTTCTCTCAGTTACAGGAAATAATATTGTAATAATCTCATTTTCAATTTCTATCATTTTCTAAGTGATTTCTCTTATTTCTTAGAAATCAAGAGGTTTTACTATGGAAACAGATTTATTACATCCCATCTTATTAAATAATAATGGGAACTAATTATATTTATATTGGAGAAACTAAAATATTTATTTATTAATATCATTATTGACTAATAATGTTTACCTTTTTTACATTGTTTTCATTCATAGTTTATTCGTTAGGAGATTAAATTTATCCAATAAAATCAAACAGTGAAACTTAATTAGAAAATAATGGATGGATAGATTGTTCAACATAAGAGGAAGTGATCCCTTAAAATTGTTAGGGAGATGATCTATTGTGGTTAGAATGTTATGTTGTACCATAAAATGGGTTATGTACTAAATAGAATATCAATACCAAAACTTAAGATATGCTCAATTATGTATTCACTTTTTATAAAACTACACTTTAAACATGTGACATTGAAATTAATGGATAATCTAAAACTGAAATAATGAACTAAAAAGATGATTTAAATAAAGCTATGTTCAAATATAGCGGAGATAATGTAAAGATAAAAATTAAAAATTATGGAACTCTTTTTACAGGACTCACTATTAGTAAAGATTGTAATCCAAATTGTTAAAGATGTTTACAATCTTTCTGTGATTAGTGTTATGATGATTCCTTCTATTATTATAATTACAGATGTTCCAAATTATTTTGTGAATAATAGATTAATAAATTAAATTCTAAATCTCTCCTCAATTCACAAGGATCATACTCAGATAGTGTATTTACTTTAGAATTCTTGTTCAATATAAATTTAGGAGATTGTCTTATCCCTAAAGTTTATTATACTTATAAAATTGAGAACTCTTAAATCAAATATATTTTACAAGAAAACTAAGTATTTTTAAAAAAAGATACATCAAATACTCTAATAGCATAATTACCATTAAAATAAATTATTGAGAATTGTCAATTAATAAATACAACTACAGCATTTGTATATTAATGCTATATAGGAATTGCAATTACTAGTGAATTATCCACACAATATTTGGCTGTTACAATATCTTAACTTACTATTGAAAAGGGTACAGAATCTACCCTCCCATATGTACAATCACTTAATATTCCTTCTGATGAAAATGTTTCTATTGGACCTGTATTTTTAGTTAGTGAAACTCTTTCATTACAAACTGATTCAAATCTTAAATAACTTACAGTCTTATAAACTATCTCTGACCCTGAATTTTCCAATTTTAGGATACATTATTATGAGGCATATCTAATTCAGAATAATAAAACTATAACATTAAATCTATAAATTGAAATTTAATAAACTATTAATACTACCTTTATTTTCACATGGACTGATCCTTTATTTGATCCATCACAATCATTTTCATTTCAAATCAATTCCGAAGCCAAACCTGTACTAAATAATCGAAGAAGAAGATTGGATATTCCACTTAAAAGAGAAAATCTTAAAGTTAATTATAATGCTTAAAATATATAAGTATATATTCCTAATACACTCATTTTTGATCCTTCATTCAAAGCAGGGCCTCTAGTAGGAATATTAGTTGGAGCCTTTGCAATTATTGCAATCATAATAACAGTCGCCTATTATAAATACAAGCCAGCATTAAAAAAACCCCTTATATGAAATAGAATATTAAAAATATTTCTATATTTCATCTTCAAAATGTATTTTTTTTATTTATTTTCTTAATAAACTTCATGTCTCAATTTATTTTTGCTATTCTTACTTTTTCTTATGCGATTACAATTTATCCAAATCCTCAATCTTAAATTTTTTAATGGGAATATTAAATATGGATTGATTGTAAAAATCAAAATCTCATAATACCAACCAATTGTGATAATGATGATCTAAATTGGAAAGAATGTTATGAAATACCAGAATAAGGATTATGTCTCAAAAATAAACTAAAAATATCAACACAATAAACATATAACCTTATTTTCACTTTTTAAAATTTTAGTACCAATATACCTCAAATTTTACTTAATAATAATCCTTAAGAATAAAAATCATTCTAGAATAATAAAATTGCCATCTAAACATTTTTGAATTACTCCAATTTAGATATTTAAATTTTAGGAACTGCTGTTAAATTATAAAAACTTGTATTAACTTCTGATTGTAATCTAAATTGTTAAGAATGTGATGAAAATTTTGAATGTATTAAATGCTTTGATAATTTTTCTATGATCAACTATTAATGCTTACCAGATTCTTGCTTCTAAGTTCTGAGTAATTTAACTACTTAAAGTGCTTTGAGTGCAAATTCAATGATAGTCAATTAAAGTGCGTATTAAGTGACTGTTGATTTCAATATCGAATTAGGTTAATGTTTGGTTCCAAAAATTTATCTTGTAAATTAAATAGAATCTAATAAAATAGAATTTATATTAGAAACCAAACAAATCTAAATTAAAACTTAAAAACAACTAAATTTTTAATTGACACTAAATTAAATTAACTAATATTGTAAATTGATTTTTCAAAATAAAGAAAAAACCATTCATCAATGCTCCTTAGGTGTTGCATTAACTAATGCTCAAATCACTTATTATAATCTCATAATTTTAGGAGAAGTCACTACAAATTTATAAACATCTTCTTTATTTTCTTCAACACAAGTAATTAATATTCCTGAAAATGGAAAAGTAAAACTGGAAGTTAGTAACGAAATAACAAAAGTGTAAATTAACAAAGATTTAATCTCAATATCATAAACTATATATAACGATAATTTAAAAATAGATACAGTATTGATAAATGAAGCTTTTTTTATATAAAATGGATAGTAATATGATAGTTTAGAATTTTTAGCATCATTTGTAGGAAAATAACAGATTACTTATAAATTCAAAATAAAGGAAATTAACATGAAATTTGATTAAAAGATGGATTTGGTTTTAAGATCAGAGTTGATAGAGTCAAAAAGAATTCTCATTAAAGATAGATAGTAATTAAGAATTGAATATTACACTAAAAATTTAATTCAATTTTTACCAAACGAATTGTCATAATCGATTAAAAATCAAAAGAGCAATTTAGGAGTAAAAGGTCCAATTTTTGCAATAGCTGTAATTTTATTGGTATCTTTGTGGGTAACAATTTAATGGTAAAACAAAAAATAGAAAAAATAACATCATGAAATTGATGAAGAGGATATAGAGAATGATTATTGAAAAATATAATAGTTAATTTATGTTATTATTGTTATTGTTATTAAAATGTATAGAATGTACAATAAAAGAACCAGAGAGTGTACAAAAGGTTAGACTTAGATAAAGCTGCTAATCAAGATAGACAGGATACTTCTGGAATGGATAACAATGTTTACAATGCAAGTCACCAAATTGTTAATGTTTGAGTTAAGGCGGATGTACATCTTGCAATGATAACTATTATTATGACAAAGAAGATACAAATTGTAAGCCTTGTCCTAAAGGCTGTTAAAATTGTTGCAAGAATCCATTATTGACACAGTATGTATGTATTTTATGTGTTTCTGGCTACAGAAATATAAATGGTGTTTGTGTGTATATGGGTAAATGTGCAATGATTTCAATGCATGGAAGATGTATTGAATGTGATTAAGGTTATTATGTGGATTTTGAATTTATTTGTAGAAAATGTGGGGATGGATGTGAAGATTGTTCAAATTTAGCATTTTGTAATAAATGTTCTGATGGTTATCATCTAGTGAATTAATAGTAAAGTTTAGTTTGTAAAGTTTGTAATGTAGATGGATGTAAGCATTGTAAAAATGATATATGTATTGAATGTAAAATGGGATATTATAAAGATGGAGTTAATTCATGTGGTAAATGCTTGACTGATTGTGACACTTGCTAAAATGGTAATTAGTGTTAAGTTTGTAATTATTATTCAATAGTTAATGAATAAAAAACAAAATGTAATAGATGTTAGGATTTATTTCCAAATTGTATGGATTGTAACACATTATTTAGAGAAGATGATTCAACATATTTTACATGTGCATATTGTTTAAATGGATATTATTATGATGAGGAATTAAAAAGTTGTGAAAATTGTATAAAAGATGAATAAAATATTTTATAAATAAGAAGATGTGAATCATTGGAAATGATAACATAATGTTAACCAGGATATTTATTACTATAAGATAGATATATAGATTTAGAGAGAGAAATTCCATAGATGTTAAAGTATACTTGTATAAAGAATATTTATAATTGTGCTACAATAATAGATTAGAATGGATATTGTAATACTTGTTTATTGGGTTATATTTTATTCAAAGAGAATTAGATCGGTAAATGTATAACTTGCAAAGATAAGGCTGAGAATTGTAAAGATTGTTATATTACTCCAAATAATATATTTTAATGTATTCAATGTGAAACTGGTTATTTTTTATAATTAGATGGTAAGGAATGTAAAAAATGTGGAGATAATTGTATTTAATGTAATGATAAAGTATTATAATGTGATATATGTGAAGATGGTTATATATAATAAAATGGTGTATGTGAAAGTTGTAATGTTAAAAATTGTAGATAATGTAAAGAATAAAATAAATGTATTACTTGTGAAGATGGTTATGGAGCTATAAATGGAGAATGTAAATAATGTTAATTTGGATGTGTTGAATGTAATTTTGATTAGTAATTATGCTAAAAATGTTAAGATAATTACTTTTTATATATGAAATCTTGTGTACCATATCCATCACATTGTTTAGAAACAAGTGATGATGGATTTTGTTATTTATGTGAAACTATTATAGATTATGATAATCAATTAGATAAATTTATAGATGAAGGTACATAGGCTCCTTAATATAAAGAATCTAACATTTCCATATTTTTTAAAAGTGTTAATGGATATTGTTTAAAATGTAGTGATTATGATACTGGATAGTATTTTTGCCCAGATTCATGTTTAAGTACTATCCATTCATTTGAATCAATTGTAATGTTTTCATGGTTATTATTCCACATAATTTAATGAGAACTCTTATTTTTATATTCTATAATATTAATCAATTAATTATAATAATGAATAGAGAAGTCAAAGTTGTGTTATTAGGAGATTCAGGTGTAGGCAAAAGTTCTATTGTACTGAGATTCTGTTCAGATATATTCAAAGTCACACATGAATCAACTTTAGGTGCTGCATTTATGGCTAGAACTATAGAAGTTAATGGAATTAATTTTAAATTTCAGATTTGGGATACTGCTGGATAAGAAAAATACAAATCACTTACTCCATTATATTATAGAGGTAGTTATACTCATCTAATTATTAGAGGCCTAGGTAGCTTTGATTGTTTATGATATTACACATAAAGATTCCTTTGATGTATTAAAATCATGGGTTAATGAATTAAAAGCACATGGTCCTAAAAAAATAAGTATCAATTTTTATATCATTTTTTTAGTCTAAGTTTTAGTTGGTAATAAGAATGATTTGATTGAAGATGAGAAAGTTTCCTATGACGAAGCAAATAACTATGCATAAGTATAATATATATTTACTTATTTTAGTAAATTGGTGCATCACTTAAACTTACCAGTTGTAAAGAAAATAAAGGAATCTAAGAATTGTTTGTCTCTATTGCTGAATAAATCTTATATGAAGAATAAAATAAATTAGTAGAAGGTAAAAAAAGTGAAAAACCAATCACTCCTACTGTCAAAGTCACTGTTGATGATCAAAATAAAAAAAAGAAAAAAGAAGGAGGATGTTGTTGAATTCAATATTTTTTAAAATTATAAATATCTAATCTTCTTCATATCATATGTTTCATCACTAATATCAATGCATATCCTATAACTGCCGCTGCAAAAAATAAAAATCCTAATTCCAAAAAATGTTTCTCTACTTAATCACCACCTTATGCATATGTTTACAATTCATTCTTTTCTGATAAATTCCAAGTCAATAATATTTTTATTGCTCTCTATTTCCATTCATCTTCTGGTAATTATACTCCTAAATGCTCTGAAATATGATCCTCTATTCCTCTTAACATATGACTTACCTAATTTACTTACTATTATGCTTATAATGCCAATAAATATTCAGAATTCTTATCCAATCTCTTTAAAAATGGTCTTTGAGCTTTCTTTCTATAACTATCGTATTCCTATTCGTTGAACAAATACTGTTTTATATCATTATCCTCCACTTAATCTAAACATTATTTCTTTAATATTTTTATCTCCTTTGTATCCTTTGTCTCCTTTAACTCAAAATGAATTATCCCTATAAATATTAATTGTTATGAATTAGCCATTATATATTATTTTTATTAATGTAGTTTTCTAAAAATGATGTCTTTTGGGGTAAAATTTAAGGTTATCCTTATTGGCCATGTACCATAGCTTATGATAGACCAGACCAACAAAAATGTAGAGTCTTTTTCTTCGGAGATAATGAACAGTTTATTTGTAAATTTATTCTAGAGGTGAACTTAAATATTAAGATCTGAAACCTTTCGAAGAATATTTTGAACACTATTGTACTTAAGCCAAAAAGAATAATAATCTCAAAGTCGCTATTGAATAAGCTTTAAGTAAAGAAAGTCATAAATATCTCTTACCTTCTTATGAAAGTATAATTCAATACTAATTTACCAGAAATAGTTCGAGGTATCAATCATTCTAAAGTCCCAGAACAAAAAATTAATAAAAACATTCCTGAAATTAAGGTGGCGCCATAAAAACAATAATAACCAAAAAAAATAGAAATTTTTATCTAAAAACATTTTAAAGATGTAAAAGGGGAAGCTATTAATCAAATCCTTGAAAAATGCAATAATAATCAAAAAAAGGTAGTTAAAGCTATTAAAGTAAAGTAATTTATTAATAAAGGCTTATTCTTCACTATAAGCAGGAATAATTAATAAAATATTTAATTTAGAGACATTCTAAAATTATTATGATTCCTCTATCAATACCTCAAAGAATGAAAATTACTCGATACTTGATAATTTGCTTGATCCAAGTGAAATTAAAATATTCTTTTGATATTATATAAAAATGCTAATTACCAACTTCTGTCTTGTATCTGCATCATGTGCTGCATTAAGGGCAGTTGTTTTATTTAGAAAGGAGAAATTTCTTTCTAAGATGTTTACAGATGTAGATAAAATGGCTCTATACAATCTTGATTACATCAATAGTAAAGCTGATCTACCTATTAATCAATATCTTGTATTGACTGGAAAACTCACATCTAATAATTTACAGTATCAAAAATAATAATATTCTTAGACCTACTTTTTCTGATAAATCAGTCAAGGCAATACTATCTACAATAGTACCTACTACTAAAGAAAAATAAAAAGATATTGGAGATGGTCTCATGATTAATTTAGGCAAAGTAATTACATTTAAAAGAGATCATTTAATATCATTTACACTTGGAAATGATACACATTAATTAGATGTTAAATATTTACCTAATAGATCTCTTATTTTATATAATCTTCCTAAATTAAGAGACAATATAATGAAAAGTGAATTGTCATCAATTAAAATAGCTAACCAACACTTTTTTTAAAGTACATATACAGAATTTGCTTTGATACCAAATTAATAAGTTTAATATAATAAATAAATTTTAGTATGGAGTTTGCGGTAAACTATAGCAAGATGGTGTTTTCAATCCATTAATTATATTAGGATCATCTAAAGAATCCTTTATAGATAGTCTAGAGGAAGAGTTATTAAAAATTAATAAAGCTGCTAAAATTTGGTTATTAGTTAGTGGTGGCATTACAATAGGAGCTGCAATATATGCTAAATATTATAAAAAATCAAGAAAATAAAAAGAGAATAAATGAAATTTCAATGTATTTTGATATATAATATATTTATTTGTTGAAAAGTATAGAATTATTGAATTTTGTAAAATAGAAATTCAAAGTGTTCTGTCAATCTTTCTTATTGCATTTAAAATTGATTAATCTTAGAGTGATTCATGAGGAATTATTATTAATGCTTATCTGATTGCTTAGACTTAATGTTAAAGTGTAGTTGCTCGAATAAGAATGACAAAATAAAAAGTAATTAAAACTCCAAAACCAAAAGAAATGGCATATGTAACTATCATTACATAATCATCTTCTAAAATATCTAAAGATGCTTTAATAATAGTGTAATAGAATTCTAATAGAGCAAAACTAATATCAAATGTATAAGATAGAATCACTTGAATAAATTCTGGGGATTATAGGAATTAATTAACCAATGTTAGATTTGTATCCTTAATACCATTTAATTCAAGAGAATAATGAGTAGTAAGAATTTATTGTATACTAATCTTTAAAATTATTTTTACGTTTAAAATATTCCATTAATTCCGTATTTGTACAACATACGATTATTGTCAATATCTTCAGCAAGTGGATATGTGGGGTAATTCTAAAACCGCCCATTTTCATACTCACAAAATGGCAATGAAGATGGTATGATTAAACATAGATCAGTTTCATACATTCTTAATAATAAATCTTTGTTTTCTTAACTAATTTTTTTAGAAGCTACTATGTCATTATATATATGTTCAAAAACTGAAGTAGATTCATTTTGAAGTATAACAAATGAATTCAATAATTCAACATATAATCTACTAAAATATTTATCTTTAGTGTTTAATTCTGGATTTAATTTAAAAATTCCACTTGCCATAGTTTCATCAATAAGTATCTATTGATTTTTCAATAATTAACTGATTATCATGACACCATCTAAATCTTATTTGAATCTAACATATTCCATAGCTAATCTTAATTCAGGTTGTGAATCCTCCATATTTTATTTCATTATAAAAAACGTTGATAAAACATATCCTGATAATATAATCCAAAGAGAAAATAACATTAGATAAATGTTAATAATTGAGAAATTGGTTTCTTAAATTCTAGATACAGATTTAACTCTAGCAGAACTTGATTTATTTGTATTTTTTAATTAAGATACAGAACTAGAAGTATATTTAATAGAAGTGTGAGTAACTGTTCTATTAAACCAGAAATATTCTCTAAAATAATTTAAATGTTTCCATAATTACTAATCTTTATCAAGCATATTTGAAATAAATGATATTTTTTGACAGGAATACTCAATATCTTTTTCTGTAATTCTGCTTATCAATAGTAATACTGTTTGCATATAAATATATGGTTAATTCCATTACTTAAATTACAACATTAACATAAAGAATATAATCCAAAGCAAAACTAATAGAAAAATAAAATATTCAGTTTAAAAATAGTCAATTAGATTAAAAAATTCATTTTCAATTTCTTCGACTAATTTAATTGTTAAATTTAATTAATTTATTAAATTTCCCTTTAAGAATTAAACTAAAACCTAAATCTTCTCAACATATTTCATATCATCTGTACCTTATAAGTATTAATTGATTCTTTCTGTATATTCATTTACCATAGAGTCAAATTAAATCATAGTGATATTCAATTCAGAATATGAAAATTCATTAATGATTCTAACTGTTATGATTGGTAATTTATTGTCATTTTCTAACTTTGCAAATTCATTTTTAAGTTCTATCATCATACTCAACATCTCTTCTCTTCTAATTATACTCTCATTCTTAATACGATATTCATAAAATTATCCATAAGATTAATTTAATAAATTTAATTAAAGATCCAATTAACCTAATGTTACAAAAGTACAATAAAGTCTGTTAAATCTTTAAGGTATTCTGACTAAAGGTATATCATATTCTAATTAGTTTGTATTTTATCGAGCAAGTGCCATCTCTGAAATTATTAAAATTATCATTAAAACTGTTAAGAAAACACTTATAATAATACCTTTAATAATAGAAGATTGAAACTCTTCTGAATATGTTATTTTTCTTATCAAATTATAAACAGAATTTTAAGTTTTATCAGATGTAGCACTTGTAACAGACTTTTTATTTTATTTTTATAAATCATTTTATTATTCTATATTTTATTCTCTAAGTACAATTTATAAAATATTTGCTTATTGATTTTTTTGAGAACTACTTTTACCTATTTTTGATTTTTGATCTCTACCATCATCCTCTTCATCATCAAAATCATACTCTCTTTAAATTAAGATATCTCTATTTCCTCTTGGAGATACTAAATTACTTTCTCTAGGATCAATTGATTTTTATAATGCCAAATTTTCATTTACTTAAACTTCTTAATTAGTTTCACCTTCATGATCATTAATAAATAATTTATTAACAACTGGTTAATTTATTACAAATGCTTAAGGTACATCATTTTCATCTAATTGAAACTCATCCTCTATTTATTCAGTAGTTTTTAAATTCTTCGATTAATAGTAAGAACTTATTGCACTATTAGATAATTCTATTCCTTATCTTTTTACTTCTTTGTATCGGTATTCAATTATTTACATTAAAAAATATGGATATTTATTTTTCATTACATTTAATGTAAGATTATATACAATTTAATAATAAGGATGTACTGAATTTTCTTTCAAAGAACAACTTGAAACAAACTCTTAGGTTTATTGAATATAATTTTTCTTAAAGCATGTATATTTCGGTTATACTGAAACTTAATGATAAGTATTCTCTTATTATTCTGTTTTTAATGCACTTGTTTGAGTTATCAAATGAGATTTTTTATATGCTTCATGTTCTCTTATTATAATATCAATATCCTATATTGGAGTTACAAATGTTTTCTAAGAATTAATTTTCAATTATTAATCATCTTATTCAACTTTTTAAAATTATTAAACTGCATCAAACAAATTATGAAACCAAAAAAAAATATATGAATTTAAAATTTAATCATCAAATTCTTAACTATTACTTTATAATAAGATATTTTAAACTTATTTTGAAATACCCAATATCTTTCCTGTATCATCAAATATTATAAAATCATTATTTTCATTCATTTGCTTTATTGCAGCAGTAACAATATAATCATCTATATTATCATATGAATGAACCAATTATAAAGTAGAGTTAAAAGAAAAACCTGTTTAATATATTGGAAATACACTTCTACTTTAATCAAAAATTTCAGATTCTCCTATTTTCAAAAAATTATTTAAAAATTCATCATGCTTATCTTTTAAATATTTCGGTAACAATTAATTTATATGCTATACTTACATAAATGAATCTTCATTTTGATATTAAAAGAATTTTTACATTTTTTTTCTATTACTAGCTATTATTTACCCTTAATTTTTTAACATACTTACAGATACTAAAATCATTTCATCATTTAATAAGGTAGTATTGATAATATTTTTAGTTTATAAATTTCTCTCAAAACTTAACAATTCTTCAATTCTTTACTCAATTTCTAATGTTATATGAAAATCATTCAATACTCCTGAAAACATTAAAGACAATAATCTTAAATCTAAAATATTTAATTTAAATAAATCTTTTTGAATTGTAAAAACATTTATTTAAAGTTCGCTAAAAACTATATTCTTTAATTTAGTTAGTAATTTACTTAAATTTTCTGACTAAATAGCTAATTCTTCAATTCTTTAAAACCCTTATTGTAATTTTTCCCAATATTTTAGTTTCATTTATAATATTTATATAATTAAACTCATACTTTTTTCATTTAACAGTTAACTTGTTCTTATTTCAAATAAACTTAAAGCTCCTTAAGATTCCTCATTCATCTGAAATATTTTCTTTTTTTTTCTATTTTTAACAACTGAACCATAAATGTTATCTGCAAGAATTTAGAAATATAATGATTAAGAATGAGTTGAGGATTAATACTTTTTCATTTTTATATATCCTAGATTCTGCTTTTCACAAGTTTGTAAAAAAAATAATATATTATAGATATAAAAATCTTCATCTTAAAATCTTTCTGTAATTTGTAATTATTCTATAATTTTTGTAAATAGTTGCATTATACATTATTATAATTAAAGATCAATATCAAACTTCTCTTTAATTACAATTTTAAATTTGGCTCTAATAATGTAAAGTATTTTATTTTTTATTATTTAATTACCAAAATAATACATATCAACAATTTATAATAGTAATTCCTTTTATAAAGATTGTTAAATTAAATTGTCTTCTTATTATAATTCTAAATATTTTTATGCTACAAAACTCAACAAAGGAATTAAATAACATCCTAAATAAAAAAATTAATAGGAATTCCAAAAAAAAGCAATCATTTTTAATATTGATGCAAAAAATAACAAACTGCTCCAAAAGCAATATTATAGATTGACATAATATTAATATGGATTCACAAATAAGGCATCTAAAAGTTGTACAAAAAATATTAAAATCAAAATAACACATTAATATTATTCTTTTAAGTATACTATTGAAATCAAACCAATTATTTCTATTAATGAGATTAGATAATTTGAAATTCTATGTCTTTTTATAAATGGATTTCTTGTTGGCAATGAATAGTTTCGTTGTATGTAGTTTTAAATAGTTGAATTGAAAATTACAGGAAATATTAAAAAAATAACAATTTAATCAAAATCTCCAATTAATTTTAAATTTTAGATGTGTATAAATGTGGGATAAAGCAAAAGAGAATTTAAATAAGTGAAATATTTCTGGCTATAATGATATAAAATTTAAGATTAAGAACTTCCAAAAATAATAATTAATGTTGCAATCCAATGAATAATACTTATCATAATTACAGAAGCTATAATAATGTTATTATTATTTATTGAAATTATAGGAGTAAGCCCTGAAAACCAATTTATTAATGTTTTTATTAAGATAAATTTTTCATCCTAATAAATACTAATAATATATATATACTTTGTAATATTCATTTGCAAATTAATAAGTGGGTAATAAAATGCTCATTCTAATTGCTACATAAAATAAAGATAAAATCTTTAAATTTATTTAAGTGGATGATTTTGATTCCTTTAGCATCTATTGCATTTCTCTAAGTTAAATTTTAATGAATTTCCCTATAATTTGCATTAAATTTAATATTTTTATTATTATTATCATCATATTCTAAAAATAGTTTCTCATTTTTTCTATTATTTTCCAAATTTTGAAAAGAAGACTTTAGCATTAAATACTCTAACTTAGAATTATAATTTGCAATAAAATGATAAAGATTACTTTTATGTAAATAAAGGATTATAGGAGTAAATAAGTATAAGAATTTAAATTGAAAATTTGAATATTCTAATGAGAAAAAATAAAAAAAATCCAGGAATAAATAGGGTTAAGTAATTTATTTGAAATATTTCAATCGTAGTTGAATAAATATCAAGAATAAATTAAATCAAATTTATAATAAGTTTTGTATTTTTATTTTATTTATCTAAAATTTTAATTTAATAATTATTTGTAATAAAATACAATTAATGAGTCGATATGATTAAGATTTCAGTTTAACTTTTAGCTTAATAACTATTTGATTGTGTATTTTAGAATTTAATAATTGAAATAAATATAATTTTTGTAAAGGTATTAAGAATAATGTATAATAGAGTATATTTAATTATTATTCTTTTAAGTAAGCATTATCATTATATGATAACTCATTTGTAAAGATTTGTTAATAAAGCAATTATGTATATAAAATTAAATAATGAAAAAAAAGGAGAGTCCGTACCTTGGAATAGATAATCCTGTATATAGTTAGAATATTTCCTCTCCTCGATTTGAGGAACTTCTACCTATTTACTAAAATGATAATGGGACAGAACAGCGTATAGATGAAGCATTAAAAGATAAGAGAAATATTTTTGAAAGAAATAATTTTCGAGCATTAAATGATGGTCATAAAGAAGAAAGTTCTGAAGATGATAATTATTTGAGTAGTGTAAGGTAAATTATTGTTTTGGATTTTATAAGTGATAATAGATATGATTAAGAATCAGTAAGATCAAGAACGAATTCTTTAATAAGATAATAGAGAAGTCCTAGTATATAGAAAAACTAATAGATAAGTTAAAGTCCTTTTAAAAAAGGAAATACTGCATTAATAATTGATTCAACATTCAATTTATAAGTTTAAGGAGTAAAATCATACTCAAAAATTGATAAGTACTAAAGTTTTGTGTAACAATTTGAATTAGAGGAAGATAAAATAAGAAAGAATAAAGAATTACAATAATAAAAAAGTAATTAAACAAATGAGCTTTCATCTAAAAGGTTAAGTGGAATAAGAGAAGGAAAAATTGGGTATAATTATCATTGATTATTAGCTTAAATGATATTTGGGCATCAAAGGGATTTATAATAATTCGATTAGTATCTAGATTTATCTAATAGTTGAAAACTAAAACTGAAACTATTAAGTTTAGACTCTTAACTTAGAAGATATTTTCAGTGATAGGGGATTTATCAAGTAATTTTGAATATATCTTAATTTCTCATTAAATTAAATTAAAACCAAGTTTGGTACAAATTTTAAAATTAATAAGTTCTTAATTTTGAAATATAATTTTCAGAAAAGAGCAACGAAATTACTTCATTATTTAGAAAATTGTTAAGATTATTTAAGCAAATACATTATAGTAATTAGACCTGATAGTAAGTTTAAAATAATATGGGATATTCTATTATTACTTTTTATAGTAATGAATATATTTTATATTCCTATTAATATAAGTTTTAATATATCAACATCAGGAGTCTTTGAATATTTGTTTGATTTATTACCATCATGGATTTTTGTTGCTGAGATAATTATTAATTTTAACACAGCTTATTATGATAAAGGATTGATGCATGAAGATAGAAAATCTATAGTAAAGCATTATTTAAAAGATAATTTTTTTTGGGATTTAGTAGTAGTAATACCATTTTTGATGTCTAATATGAATATACCATTTGTTAGATATACTTTATTACTTAGATTGACACGGTTATCTCCATTGATGGAAAGCATAGAAGAAATGTTGAATTTGTAAGTAAGATATTATGAATATAACAAAAGGAAAATATTTAAATAGTTGTTGATCTTTTTAAACTTATCTTTTTCCTTCTTTTGACAGGTCATTTTTGTGGATGTGCATGGCATTTTGTTGCATTAACAGAATATGAATCATTTGGTATTACTGATAATTGGTTAACACATTATGATAAATAAGCATTTGATTATAATTGGTTTGATAGATATATAATTTCTCTTTATTGGAGCGTAATAACAACTGTTACTGTTGGTTATGGAGATATTGTACCTGTTACTACTTTTGAAAGAATATTTGTTATTATTGTTACATTATTACTTTGTGGAGTATTTGGTTATTGTATTTCAAATATTGGTAATATTTTTAAATAAATGTCTGATAAAAGAACTACTTATAAATTTAAACTAAGATAAATACATTAACATATTAGAAAAAGAGGTCTAAATCTTAATCTTTCATTAAAAGTAACAATTTTATTAATTTTATAGGTTAAGAAGTATTTTGAATACTTTTTTAAACTAGAATAAGAAGAAGATAGTCACGCAGAGATATTTATAAACTAATTAACTAAACATTTAAAAGAAGAAGTTTTGACTGATTTATATTGTAATACACTTAAAAAATCAAGATTTCTTAGAGATAATTTTAAAGAATTAACAATTAATAATTTATGTTAATTTGTTAAAGAAAAGAAAGTATTACCAGAAGAAGTTTTATATTCTCGATTTGAATAGCCTACGAAAGTATGGTTTGTTCTTTCTGGAGCTTTAGAATTTGTAGCAGATCATTAAAGTATATTCAATTAATAATTTTTAAGATGAAAATGATTTTTATGAAGCCACAGAAACCTTTCTCAAAAAAGTCAGTTCTGGGTAATATATATAATTTAAAATTAGAGCAGTATTAGGAGAAAGAGAATTTATTACACAATAACCTTATGATTATAAAGTAAGAGCTTTAAAATTTACTTAAATGGCTTATATTAAGTAATTTAATTATTATAAAATAGTTATGATGATTTTATTAATGTTATTAGTGAAAATGAATCAGAATATGAAATATTTTGCATGAAAAGAGATAGATTATTATTTAATCCCTAATATAAAGGTTCTGGAAATGTTTGTGAAATTTGTGAATGGACTCATAATTTTATACAGTAAATAAATTTATTCAATTTTTATTAGATGTCCTTTTGTATTCTTATAACCAAACTTAAATAAAATATCTAGTAGTTTCACTGCAGTCAGATTAAATAATAGAATTAAATTTCCTTATCGAAATACTCATAAATCTAGATCTAGAGAGAACTTAAACAGTGTATAGGAAGGTGTTTTAAAAATAATAGTTGGAAATTTAACAGAATAGTAAATCAATTTAATATAATAGAGAATTTACAGATGATTATTTGCTATCTTTAGGATTTTAGTTGACTTAAAATTTAGAAATAGATTCTAAAAGTGAAGATGATTAATCTAAAAATTTAAATGATTCACAATCTCCTACTACTAGTGAAATGTAAAAGGCATTTTAAAAAAAAAGTAATAAAACTATAGTTGGAGGTATAACTACTGATTTTAAAGAAAGTCATGATTTAAAAAAAAGTATTATTAATTTTCAAAGAATTTAATTTGGAAAAGAAAAATCTAAAGCATTCTAAGTATTTAAGAAGGATATTTAAGAAAAAACACTTGAAGTTTTAGAATAATCATAATTACTTTCAATTCCAAATAATTAAATTACCAGTACAAATACTAAATAACCATAAAAATAATTATAAAATACTCCTAGAAGAAGATCATCTAATGTAGAAGAATTTGGAAGTCTTTTATAGTCATAAAAATTAGGAAATCTAAATAATTAATAAGATTAAGATTAAAATAAAGGTTTTATAAAGTAACTTAGTAAAAATAGTGAGGCTAGTGATATGTAAGAATCATTAATTAGAAAATAAATTGAAACTTAAGAAAAAAGAATTTAAGTTGGAGGAGAATAAAGAAGAAAGAAAAGAAAAACAACAATATAAATAGGATAAAAATCTTAACAAAGAACTTATAATAACTAATAAACAAATTTAAGCCCAGTTTTATAATAATAGATATAAAAATAATAGCTAATTGCAAATATTGATCAGTAAATAAAAAGATTTAGTATTGGAGATCAAAAAAAATAAGGATAACCAAATCATATTACAAGTAATGGCTAAATTGAAATTTCTGGTGATGTTGCAGAAAACATTTAAGGTGATTCATTATAAAGAAAGATTTAGGATATTGTTCATACAAATGAAAATTTATAAATAGATAATTGCAAGTCATCTCTAACTTATTTTCCTGACTTTAACATAGAAGCAATTCTTAAAAAAATTGATCATTATTATTCATATATAAAAGGGGTTGACAAAAAAATGTATAAGAGAAGTAAATCCAATCGAAACTTATTTGAAAGAATTAAACCTTCAAAAAATGCAACCATAAAAAGTTACCAAAATAATTCTAGATCCTAATAAGATGTATGACAATTTGATAAAAATACTAAAACATCAATTAAAAGTATACTTTTAAGATTCAAATTAGTACTAAAAAATAATAAATAATAAATAAATCATATCATCTTATAAATCTTTTAAATTTTTTGAATTTTACGTGAATGATAAACATTTTGGATATTACCTTCTTCAACTCCAAAACTACTTTTTCTTCTTAATAAAATAGGTTTAGGCTAAAATAACATAAAAGTGAATACATTAATGCAATCTCCTGGCAAATAGTCATTTAATTAACCTTATAATGAGACTCTTTTCATTCTTCCTATCCTTCTTTTTTGATAAACAGGATTATCATTTAATTTAATTCTTGATTCTTAACTTTCTATACTTTTTAATGTAATAGAATGTTTGATTGGTTCAGTGTCCCTAAAAGTTCTTTATGATAAATATTGTTAATCAGTAATTATATTAGAAATGATCTAAACTGTATAGGATTTCCAAAGTTTGAAAGTGGTCAATGTTATTAATAAAACATGTAAAATATTACCATTACCTTCTAGTTTAAGTTAAGGTCCAATATTTGTTCTTCTTTGTTTTAATCCTCTTCTGTAATAAGCTAATCTGAAAAGCATAGTTTTATGAAATTAAGACATTTTTTGAGCAGCAATTTCTGAACATTACTCAAATATTTATTTTTAGTATCTATGATAAAATATTTCATATAACAATTAATTATATGTTATATTATCTCCAAAGTCACAAAATAGATTAAAATTTAAACTAAGTTTAGCAGCATCCCATAGATTATCATAAGGTTTACATCCTAATGGTTCTTTAATTTCAATTAATAAATGAGGTAAAGATCTAATATTTAAAACTTATCCATTTTATCTTGAAAATTTGAACCATGTTTTTCTAAAAGAATCAATATTTTCAACGTATGTTTATAAAATGGAATCTTAATTATTGAAAAAGAATTCAAATTATTCTATCATGGCTAAAACAAATAAATTTAACAATGCATAATTTGATATTAACATAAAAGATATAAAGTAGATTTATGCATATGGAGATCCACAATATTTAGGATCTTCAGAACAATATGGATTATGATGCATACAATCATTCATAATAGATCGAAAATCATCTCCACTAACACATTTAAAAAGTGTAAGCATAGCTAACCAAAAATTAGAAAAGTTTATTAAATCATTAATAACTTCACCCTTATCTATTGTTCCATATAACATTACTCCATAAAATGCATATACAACCATAATTATTAAAAGAATGAACAGAATCTTAAGTAAAAATGGCAATGCAAATGACATTACTCTTATTAATCTTTGTAGATTTTACAAACCTTAAAATATTAAAATAATTCTTAAGTTTCTAAGAGTATATAATATTCTTAATAATTAATAATATTAGGTTAATTATGTTGAATTACAATAGAATTCAAACCAATCGAATTTGCAATCAAGAATTAAATCAATGACACCTAAAATAATAACTAAGGATGTATAGAGTCTCCATAAATTATCTTTGAATCTATTGATTCCTAAATTAATGAATTGAAGTAGTAACCAAGTTGCAAAAATAATAGTACATATATGATAAATTTAATTGATTCTTGAATTATAATAATCTTCAGCTGAATGATGAATCATCATTATTGTAACACAATTCATTAATAAAATAGTAAACATAAAAAAGTCCATATATTTATTCATTATTAATATATTTAATAACCTACTAAATTGCGACTTTGGTAATGATGCTCTAATAGGATGATCATGTAAAATGATTTCTGATACATTTATATATTCTAATTGAGCTTATGTTAATTATTAGTCTTCCATTTATTAAGAATTGGCTTTTAAATTGATAAACAATACACCAGTAAATAATTAAAGGAAAAACATAGATCCAACAGCACAAAAGGCTAAATAAAAGATATATGTTGGAATCTAACTAAAATAAAGATGTGGACCATCTGAAGCTTCTCTACTATTTTATGATACCCATAAAATTGAACCCCATCCATCAAAAGTAGAAATTATAAATAATGCAGGTAATGCAGTTGTTATATTATCAAAATTATGTTTATAAACTCTCCATTCCTTACCTAATTTAATACATTCTTCTTATCCAATATCATAATTTATTTATTCCTCACAAAATCCCATCTTACCTGCATATAACATCATTGAAAATACAGCAAACATTAGCCATACTAAAAGTAATACAACAAACACATTTATAATATCAAATAGAGATTAAGTCAAAGCTGCTCTTACTCTAACTACCCATTTTATTCTATATAATAATTTTAAAGGTCTAAAAAATAAAAATGTCTCGATTACTACAAAAACTGGTAAATCAATAATATTAAAAAATTTAACATAATAAACTATTATGTAAATTAGATCAACTATCTTCCAAGTATACTATACTATAAAATAAAACACTTACATTTAAATATGATCCTCTATCTAAGAATGCCCCTTATGCAATAGATTTTATTATAAATTCAATAAAAATAGTTGAATTCAAAATAAATAGTGTTGTAATTAACAATGGCTTCTCCTAAATATTCTTTGGAAGAGCCAAATAAATAATAGTGAGAAATAAAATGGAATCAATAAAATATTTTGTATAAATACTAAAACTTATCCTAAAGAATATCTTTCTTAATGGATTTGATTTTTTAAAGCAGTAATAGGATTACATACATTCAATTCCAGCATATAATTTATAATTATGTTTAAACATTTTTTTAAAGATCTATTCTAGATTTTCTTATAAATATTTAAGAGTTTTTGGTTCATTAGTTTTCAATTTTAATATATTGATTTTACTCTTTAATCTTCTAAAATCCTCTTTTATTTTCTTCTTCTATTCATCTTACTATTCCATTTTTCTAGTTCTGACTACTGGAAATTATAAAGAATGAAATAACATTTCTGTGAAATTGCTATCTCTTTTGGAATATAGATTATAAATTTATTCTTTAATATTATTAGGAGATGCTTGTATATTTTCATGAAACAAACTATCATTTCTATCATTATATCTATTAGTAAAACCTTAATTATTCTAATCTTAATATAATGAAGATTAACATGAGTTGGATTCTGATTCAGACTCTGAGTCATTATCTGAATGTTCTGAATCTAATTATTTATTAAGTTTTTTTATCTATTTTATTTTATCTTTCAAAAACTTATTATTTTCATTAGTAGATTCTCTTTCTAAATATTAACTAAATCCATCCAATAATATTGCCATTAAAATACCATAAATAAAATAATTTAATGTAAACACTAATAAAATCGAATAAGCAATTGAAAATTCTTTCTAAATTTCTGATCCAATTCTATAAACTCCAAACCAATCATCATTTGTCATTATATTGAATACTGTCATAAATGCTTTAGCTGGATCATCAAATGAATGCATATAACCCTCATTATGATATTCACTAAATTTATGAGCGTATAACTCCATTCCAATCAAACCAAAAGTAAAAATCATAAAGAACATCAAAAATGCCAAATATATATAAGACTTATAAGTTATTTATGCAATTGCACCAATTATACGAGCCATTTATATATATCCTATGCATCTATAGAACAATAAACATTTTGAAGATCTCATTAATCTTAAATATTATTCACTTACATTTAAGTAATTACTAAATCCAAACTCTATCAAACTTAATATTACTATCAATAATTCTATAACATGATGTATATTTTTTGTTAATCTTCCTAATATCTTTATAATTAAATACTTGGCTTAAGTACTATCAATTAGAGTATAATCTCTGTTGATAATAATATTGTCGCAGTATCTTCTACTCTATCTATTATACTTCTTTCTATTAAACCCTATGAAGCCAAAAATAATGTATTTATAAGAATTGTTAAATCAAACACTAACATTGTTAATTTAAAATGCATTATTCTAAAAGCATATTTCCAAAGAGTTCTTAAAATTCCACTAAATGATTTATGCCAAATCTCTATGTCTCTTACATTGAGTTCTTAAAATATTGAATCAAATTTCTTTATTAAAAACTAACTATTTGTTAATACATTGTTTCCAGACCAATTTCTTTATTTTATCAATCTTTTTTTAAATTCCTTTCTCTTTATTTTTATAAATTCCTCCTCACATCTTGGTTTATCTAATGGTTTATTTACTATTTTTGAATTAATTCTTTTCTCTATTTCCTTTTAATCTAAATATGTTCCATTTAAAAGTAATTTTAATTCACCACAACTATAAATTGTAAAAGGTTTGCAAATAGATTATTTTCCAATAAATTACTATCCACTCATAAAATAAGGAAACTTTCGTCTCTATTTCTCTATTTCTTTGTTATGTTATTATCCAACTTATGGAGAAAATGATTCTGAACTAGATTTTACACCATGAATCTCAGAATTATTTACACTATCTATCTTTATTATTCTTTTCGATATTTTCATTGGTAATTAAACTAATGACTTCTAATTGTTTAAAGGAGAAACTCCTATTATTTCAGATTTACTTGACTTTACACGCTAACTCTATATTAATGTTTTTTTCTTTTAAATTGGCTTATAGTAGAATAATTTTCTTTTTTATATTTAAAAATTTTAATTTTCAGATTTTTTTAATACTTAAAATAGGGATCTTCTTAAGATATCTAACTAACTTGTTTAAATATATTAATATTTATAATCTATGAATTTTTCTAATAAAAATGATGATCTACTGAATTATTTTATTGTAATTTAAGTTTTTGGATCTGAAGTAAATTTCTTAATATCCATTTATAGAAAGTATTTTTATAAAATTGATAATTTAGGAAGAAGAAAGAATTTTAATGAAAAGTTTTAAATCTAATTTCTTATATGAGTAAAATTACTTGTATTAATTCTATTTTCATTCAAAATACTACCTAATAAGATCCTGAACTATACATTTTAAGATTATTAAATTTTATTAGTTCTAAGCTCATTTAATATGAAATCTTCATTGTTTGAAAATAAAAATTAATTCATTTAAATTATATAATGATGAAAGCCAATTCGTTTTAAGTTTGATTTACTAATTACATTTTCTTGATGTTCGGTATATTAATTTTCTCTAAATTACATTTCACTAAAATGTGTCTTAAATACTGCTATTGGAAGATTAAATCCAAAAAATCCACCAACAAATATAATTAAAACATAATAAATCCAAACAATAGGATGAAATGCTCTGATTGTATAATACATAACCCAACTCCAATCATCCATTGTTACAGTCTTTAAAATAAGTCCAAATGAATAAATTATATTATTAAAATTTGTTGGAATATTATAAGATTTATTTGTGACTTAACAAATTGTACCATCTGAACAATAACCTTCTCTACATTAAATCCAATCTGATTCTTCTGAAGGTAAACATCTTTCATTAAATAAACCCATAAATAATGAAGTTCCCAATGATGCAAAAAATAAAACAAATAAAATTACAATTGCTGTTGATTCTAAAATAAATTTCAAAGATTCAATTAATGCTTCAATCATTTTTTATAATCCTTTCATATTATTAATTTTAATACCTTCAAAAATAGCTCCTAAGTGTTTCAACAATCTTGTCATTCTTAATGGAGTAATATCTATTATTGTTTCAGAATATGTTAAATGATAATAATATAAAATAATTAAACAAGCATCTATTATTCTTGAAAGAAAGATAAATTTAGTACGAAACACTCCAGATGCAAATAATTGTAAAATTATATCCACTACATAAAACCATAAAAAGGCTAAATATCAAAATATAATAATTACTAAAATTATATTCTTAATATCTATTATCCTCCTCTTGTAGATGTTCTAATATAAAGATTGCAATGTTTCCTATTGTTACTAATGTCAATATAAATTAGTATAATCTAGATCTAACAATAATTTTAGAAAGCCTCTTTATAATTAAATAAATGTAAAGTAAAGTTTTTCTAAATTTTAACATCATATAATTATCTAAATAAGAACTCTCTCAATTATTTTTTATTATTACATATATCAAATGATATTTACGGAAACTTTATAATTTTCTGTATTTGATAAATTATGCTCCATTAATTTAACTTAATTTGTAATAAATTTTTCCAAATTAATTTGATAAACTCTATTAATCATCATTATCCTCCTAATAGATAGTTATTTAATACAGCAATAGATGATGAAGATTACTCAGTAACTGTTAAAGGACTAAAACCAGCAAGTGAGATTCGTAAATTTGTGACTCTGGGTTTTAAATAGGTTGACTTATTAAAATTATTGGTTTACACTCATTTCTGCTATTGGAGTTTAAATTGACAGATTGGGACTATGCCAATTATTTTCTATTTGTTATTAAATTCTGAATTAATCTAAATCCTCTTAAATCTTAACACTAGTATTTGAATTATCTGATTATTTATCCTCATTTGAAATGTTAGAGAAAGCTTCAGAATAATGTTCTGACTCTTATTCATCTAATTAAAATTAATTGTTTATGTTTAATGAAGAATCAAACTGTTCTAAGTTTTAATGAAGTAAATAGTTCTCAGCTGTAGCCTTATCAGCCATTCTTTCAAATAATTTTTACTAAATTTCCTCCCTAATAACATTTTCTTATTTATTTACTTTTGCTAATCCTTTTAACTTTCTGTCTTTCTAATTATTGTTGAAAATAGGTCTTATGTGTATTGACTTAGATTTCCTTAAATTCGTTTAGAAATACGTGATTTAATTGTTTTCATAGATTTTATACTTGAATCAGAGCTTTCAGATTATTCTGACTTTCTTCTAGAAACATCACTATCTGATTCTGAATCAGAACTATGTTTAAACTTTACAGCAAGTTTATTCATTTAACAAAGTTCCTACTTATCTAAAACATTTCCTCTTCTTCTAATTGATTTACTTAATCTTTGAGATTTTTATTTCTAGTTTCCATGTTCTGCAGATTATAATAATATAGTGCTCTTCTTGACAACTATCGTTTTAGAATGATGCTACCCTCTGGAATTTAGAGATTACATTATTAATATAATATTCACAAAAATGATTCATTCAATAAAAAACCTTGAAAGAACTTATTTATTAAAAAATCAAAACCTAAGCATTTATTTTAAATTTCTAAAATCAATAACTTCCTATATAAAATCAACTTTTAATTAAACTTCTTAACAAAATTATTTAACCCAAGGTTGCATAGTTTAAATCATAATTCAACCATTATTTATTCTATTTTTAATTTCCTTTATTTAAATTGCCCTCAAATTTATTACTTATTCTCCCTTGAAAGAAATTTATTTTTTTAGAAATAATAATAGTAATTAATCTCGATATTTTAAAATTTGTGATTTTGCTACATATAGATTGTAATATTATAATATTCTATCATCAAAATCAATTTTTCAAAATTGACAATTAAAAAATCTTATTGAGTTATTACCCTCTATATTGATAAATAATTTTTAAATTTAAAACAAAAAAAATCATGCTTCTGTGATTTTTATAGGTTTAATGAATTTTATCAATAAAAAATAAGAAAGACTTTAATAAAGTGTTCCATTCTTTCAATAAATTCCTTTTTTATTTTAGTGAACATAAATTAATATATTTTATTTTTTATGTATTTTTCTAGATTATTGAAAATTTTTATTTTTATACAGCTTCCTTAAAGATTTAAAAAATACCCAAAATTGACTAACAACTCTTTGTGAATTTTTGAATTTTTGATAAATCAAATATTTATTTAATGTAATAAGTTAACGCTGTAAAATCATAGAAAAAAGTATCAGTGTTTTAATAACCATAAAAAAGTAAACAAACTTAAAAAAAGAGTAAAACAGATTCATAGAATGATTATAAATAGGATTAAATAGATTATAATAAATCGAAATAATAGTAAGCTTCTTTAGTGTTAGAAAAAAATAAACTTGATTCATAATTGTCAAAAGGGACTTAAATAATGAAAGACAGTATAAAATCGTCTTAGAAATCTTAAACAATTAGAAGCGACAAAAAAAAGTTCACTTAAAATAGAACAACGTAAAATAATTAGACTTTAATATTGTTATAAGAGAATCAAATAAATGAGAAACCAGAAAGAGATGAAGAATCTGTATCAGAGTAATATAATACCTATAATGTTGAATAAGAACATTCGATGATTATTTTAAATGAAGCATTAACAAGATAGGCATCTAAGAAAGCATTTGAATAGTTATTAAAAGAAAATGAGTCATATAGATTAGATGCTTCTAATTTTGGAGATATTATTGATGAAAATTAGATAAGTAATTAATAATAGTAATAATAAAATTAAAAATGGTAAGAATAAGAAAAGAAAGATAATGGGATATAAAATGTATAAATGAATATAACTGAAGAGAGTGATTAAGAGGAGGAACAATAAGAGGATATTGAAATGATGTATTTGAGTTTAGTTAACGAAGAGAGTTAAAATTATAATATAGAATTAAATGTAAATCATAATTTTAAATGGTTACTATCAGAAATAAAACACTATAAGGATAATAAAAAATTTCTATTTGCTAGGAAAATATTATTTTTTCTAATTGTTGGATTTGAAATTTGTTGTTATCGTTTATTATAATGGAAAGTATTCGATTTATATGAAATGTTTTTAACATTAACAAATATAATGTTGTTTCTGAATAGATCATCAGATAATTAAAATGAAATACAAGCATATTAATATGTGTTATGTGTACTTTATTTTGCTGATTCATTAATTCATTTAGCTGGTTAAGGATTTAAGAAATATATTTCATCATTTTGGAACATATATGATTTATTAATCCTCATATTATACTTTTTATTTCTTATAGAAAATGATTATATTCCTTTTGATGTATCAACCTTTAGATTGATTCGGATTCCCTTCTATGTTGGTAAGATTAGTAGTACTTTAAATATAATGCTTATGTCAATTTAAGAAGCAGTCAAACAAATCGTTGAAAATATATTAATTCTAATATTGTTTACAATTCTAATTGCATTGATAATGTTATATGCATTTAATGGAGTGATTAGATATCGTTGTATGTATGAAGAATTGGGTATTTTTTCATTAAACAAATTTGAAGAGGATGTTTGTGGTTATGTTGAATGTGAACATGGTTATATATGTGCAAGATAATTAACTAATTTAGATACTCCAACTCATTTTGATGATATAATCTTCTCCTATTTCTAAACTATAAGAACTAGTGTAGTTAATGATTGGACGATTTCTATGTATGTTCTGATGAAGTAATTTAATCCTTTAGTTTGTATTTTATATATCTTTATCATTTTTGCAATCAACAAATTTTATTTTTAATTATTGATTGCAGTCTTGAAAGTTAATTATCACAAAACTTAAGAACATTATGTTAAAAATCCTATTAAACCAGAACAATATGAAGATTAAATTGTTATCAATTTATTTAAACTCAAAACTATTGGAATTTGGTAATCTTATTTAACAATCTATAAAAATTATATATCACCAAAAAGTGATAGATTAAATAGTAAATCATAATCAAATCTTACTTAATTAGAGCCTTAAATTAAAATTTAAAAACTTGTTTTTCCTGAAATTGTAAATTAAGAAAAAACCAAATTATTATCAGCTCGATAATAAAATGAAATGATAAATGAAAGAAATTTATTACAAAAATTGTATTCATTTGATAGTTGGATAATTTTTATTCTATTTCCAGAACATAAACTTTAAAATTAAATGAAAAATATTATTTAATAAAATGAACATCTTTTTACAGAACTTTAACTCTATTATACTTTTTTAAGTATTGATCATCTTAGTCTAAATAAATAAATTATTAAAGGATCTCCAAATTAATTTAATTCTATTGAAGATTTAGAAATATCTATTGTCATTAAATAAAAATCTATTCTAACTAAAATTAAAAAAAATTAGAAAAAATTTATAATTTAAAGTTATGTAAATAATTCTTCAAAAATTTAAATTAAAAAACACTAAAAAAAAGAGAAATCAAACTTTCCAATTAAAAAATCAAACTTTTCTAAAAATTTTGAAGAAATTAAACTAGTTGATTTAGATAATAATAATATTTCAGTACTAGAAGTAAGTGATGATTAAATGAGTTAATCTCTAGATTAATCTAAAATTGAAAAATATCAATAAGAAATTTAATAAAAGAAAAATATAAAGAGTCTAAGTAAATTTCATTCTTAAAAATTTCAACAGAATAATAAAAATAATAAATCAATACCATAATTATCTAAGTTCATTTTAATAGATGGATTGTAATTACCATACTAATAAATAGAAAAGATTATAAATACAGAACCTAAAACTGAAATATATGAAATAAAAAATTATGAATAAAAATATCATAATAAAATATCATAAATAAATGATGAAATTTATACAAAAAAATGGTCAGGAAATGATTTAATACAGAATTATAAGGCCAATTCTGTAATTTAATATTTAAATAGAGGATGGAATTATTATTTTGCAAAAGGATTTAAATTTTATATAGAATTGATAAAATTTTGGTCAATTATTTTTATAACTCAACCTTTTGTAATGGTAATAATTGATAGTTTTGTATGTATTGATACATTATTAATTGCATTTTCCGACTATTATGATTCTGCAATTTCAGATTTTTTTGATCTATCAGTGAATATTTTATTAGTTTTAGAAATGATGATTAAATCCATATGTATAAAAGGTTATTTATACAAAGTGAGTAATATTTTAGGATGTTTGGTGATTACAATTTCAGCTATAGAGAGAATTTTAACTCTAACAATTTATTAAGATGAAGAAGTATTGATAGAGAGTTTTACTTACGTTAGAATTTTAAAGTCTTTATTCTTTTTTAGAGTAATCAAATACAATACATTTGCTTAAAATATGTTGGTTATATCATATTAAACATTTCCTAATTATGCTGTGATGACATTATTGTTATTTTTTTTAATCCTAAATTATGCCGTATTTTCATTATAGATTTTTAATTTTCCTGATAATGGTGAATTGGCATTATTTCATTATTTTGGAAATATCTATTAATCATGGATTGCAGTATATGATATTTCAACAAGTGATGATTGGTATGGAGTTGTAATTCTAAGTACTACATATACTGCTTCATATATAGCATTCTTATTTTGTATATCTTTAGTTTTTATAGTCAATTATTTTGGATTTGGATTAGCTTTTGTCATAATTTTAGATGGATTTGCTAGTTATTTAGAAAATGTTGAAGAAGTTGAGGAGGTAAAATAAGTAGCAGAAAATGATTAAACTTATGCTTCAATTGACATTATAGAGAATAAGAAAAATAAAATTAAAAAAAATTACACTCTTAATAATATTTTACATTCTTTAATATAACCAGAAGATAATGAAAAATTTAAAAATATTAAAAATTAATATTCATTATTGATTATATCTAAAAGTAACCGACTTAGAAAAATATGTTTTACAATCACTGAAAATAAAATATTTTAGATATTGATGATGTTAATAATGTGGGGTAGTTTAATAAATTTAATTGTAATTACTTATACTGATTAATATAAACATGAAGAATGGAGTTTTTGTGAAGTTATTAAATTGATATGTAATGCAGTCATTTTAATTGATGGAATCTTATAAATAATAACATATGGTTTATTATCAGATGATGGTTATTTCAATAGCATATGGGTATTTATTGATTTTTTATACGTTGTCTGTTATTTTTTTCATTTGGTTATTTATCATGAAGCCTTAGAATGGATTCTCTTTTTAGGCTATTTAAGACCATTAAAAGTTACATCTGCATATGGATTCTTTATAAATGAAAGAGGAGCTATAATGAAATCATTAGGAGATATTATTTCTATCTTTTATGTTGTGTTACTATTTTGGTTTATTTTTGCTATATTTGGTATGACTATATATAAGGGTAAAATGGGTTATTGTGGAGAGTCTATTAATTATGGAGTTAGCAAAGAAGAATGTTTGGAAGAAAAAGAGGAATGGATTATTTACTAATATAATTTTGATAATATATTAGAGGCAATGTAATCATTATATGTTTTATCAACATTTGATTTATGGGCTTAGACTTTATTTATTTGTATTAATAGTGCTCCTGAATCTACAGGACCTATTAGATTTAATAATGAATGGATATCATATTTTTTCTTTTTTTCTTTTACATTTGTAGGAGCATTGTTTTTTTTATAATTTTTTGCTGGAGTTATTTTTGTTAATTTTTAATAAAATAAATCATAATTATTAAATCCAGATTTAACTTTGGATTAAGAACTATTTTTAAAGTTATCTGATATAATAATGTTGGATACACCTAATTATGCTAAACCTCCTAAAAAAGGATTAAGATTAATAGCGAAACAATTGTTAGATAATCCATATTACATATTGATCACAAAATATAGTCTACTTTTAAATCTATGTAATAATAAATTAATTAATTTTAGTTATTCTTATGTTATTCTATGAATCAGCTAATAATCATTATCTCAAAATTTTAAATGGATTTCAACATTTTTTTAGTCTAATTTTAACAATAGATTGTATAGTGAAATTATTTTCATATCATATTAAAAGATATTTTGATGATGTTTGGAGATGGATGCAACTTATATTTGTTATTTGTGCAATTTTAGATTTCTGGTTAGATCTTTAAGAAGGATTATTTATTAGATATGTTAGAGCTAATAGAGATGAACCTTATTTTGTATGGTTAAGATTATTTATATTACATAGATGTTTAAGAATGACATTAATAATTTAATAATTTACTAGAATAAGAAAATTATTGAATGTTATTTATTTCAATAAAATGGCATTATTAAGAATTTTAGGACTTTTTGTAACAGTTCTATCTTGTTACTCATATATAGGTTGTGAATTGTTTTAGAATATAAAGACAGGATTTATGATGAATGATTAATAAAATTTTACGAACTTTTTCTATGGATTGATTGTTACTTTTAAATGTACAATAGAAAATGGATGGAGATTCATATATTAGGATTCATAAGAACATATGAAAGAACATCATGAACCATGGATCTTAGCATAAATCTATTATTATAGTTTAATATTTATAGGAGCTAGAGTCTTACTTAATTTAATTGTTTGTGAACTTGTTTAAGAATTTGAAAAGTTTTATGATACAAGTAGTAGTTGTGTAGAAACATATGTAGAAACTATTGATACTTTTAGAAATTTATGGTGTAAATATTCTGAAGAATTTTAAGGAACCAAAATTTAAACTAAATATTTAGCTCATTTTCTTTTAGAATTAGGAGAACCTCTTGGAGCATAAAAAGGTGATAATATTTGGGATGCTGCTAAACATGCTTCAGAGTTTGAATTAAAAAAAGATTTTGATGGATGTTTAACATTCAGAAATCTACTTTATGAAGTCTTCAAAGCAACTTTTAAAAAAAGTATTTTTAAAATAAGTACTAAAGCTGGTAAAAAAATAATGAAAGATAATGACAAAAAAGTAAAATATCGACTTTACAATTAAAGGAATCCTAATTATAGAAGAGAATGTGTTATTTAGATTGTTGATTTACAAAGTAATTTCAATATTCTTTAAGAATATTTATATTTATATATGGCTATAAAAGCATGGAAAGCATTTTCAGAACATTTCTTTAAAGCTGGAGAATAAATTAAAAATACTATTGAATATACAGAGAATGATGTAAATGTTGAAATATCTAAATTCAGTAAGATATTTTGTAAAGGAGAAGATGTAGACATGTATTATGATGAAGATGATGAAGAAGAAGTAGAAGAAGTTATTTAATTCAATCCTATTAAAAGATAAAGAAAAAGAAGACCAACAGCAGAACATTTAAGAAGACCAACTGATGTTTATATATTACCTTATTATGATGAATAAAGAGGAATAGATAGTAGAGCATTTGATTAAAATGAAAAAATAGAAAATAATAAATTTTTATTCAAACCTACTGATTAGAAATAATAGAACAAATTAAAATCTATCTCTGTTATTAAGAAAAAGGAATAATTAATAAAATATAATGATTATAATATAAGAAGAGATGCTATTGATAAATAAATTTAGTCAAGAAATAAATATCTTTATGGTTATCATGATAAAATGATTTTAAGATAAATAGTTGATGATAAACCTGTAATGTCACGTATAGATCCTATGAAAGTACCAAGTCATTACAACATTATGAAGATTGGTTCAAAGTTAAAATGAATGAATTTTATACATATTATTTCTTTCTTTTATTATTTGTAAATACATTAATTATATATTATTATATCAGATGATTTATTAAAAAATGGGGCCATACGGGAGTCGAACCCATATCTGATGTACCCGAAACATCCATACTACCGCTATACTAATAGCCCTATAATTATTTTAATTTAATGACCTAATAAATATTATTGGTTACTCTATTTATCTTGTTTTCATAAAGATGGCTCTTTTAGAATATCTTGATTTATAACTAATATGAACAAGTCACAATTATCCTCAAATAAATGAATTAATTAGTAACTACTGACTTTTACAACAATAAGAAATATTTTTCAAATACTAAAAAATTTAGATTAGAACTTTCTAAATACTATATTGATTTAAATGATACTTACTGCATTCAATCAGATACATTCAAATTCTATCATCCTGATATTATTTTAAAAGATATCTACACAACTAGAGAAATCAAAGATTAAACTTAAGAAATTGTTTAATCAATAAGTTTTATTAAGATACCTGATTTCTCTCCAGAAAATTTAAAAAATAAGACTATTCTTCCTAAAGCTCTTACTACTCCTTTTAATTATTATGATTCTTATTTAACTAAATCAAATACTGGATTATGTATTTTCATATCTATATAATATAGCTGCTATGTGTTTATTTTAAAAACATAATCACATGAGAGCCCGATAATAATTAGCATACAAAAATGAATTACTAAACAATTATCATGCATATGTAGATAAATTGAAAACTATGCCAGAATTTTGTTTATAAAATGTTACCTTTATACCAAAATCTTATAGATTATGGTTAAAAGATGAATGTTAAGCATTTTTCAAGATTATTAACACCAATAAATACTAAAAGAAAGTAAAAAAATATGGACCTTAATTTATTAGTAAATTAGGATTGGAAGTACACAGAGGTGCAGGTATTTCAATACTTTTTCAAAAAGAAACAAAATAATTGATTTAAGATTACTAAAACGGTTAAATTTGTGGAGAAATTTCAAATTACGTAATTGCTTAAAAATATATCAACAATCCTTTTTTATTTAAAGGACATAAAATAGAATTTAGAATATATTTTATAATAGCTTCAACATATCCCTTAATTGTTTATGCCTATGATAGTTCATTAATTAGAAGATGCGCTACACCATTTAATAAATTTTCTATAGAAAAATCCTCTCATGTATGTAATACAGCAATTCTTAAAAAAAAAATTGAAGCGGAACAGATGGAAAATGAAGAATAATATTATATTGATTGGAATTTGGATTATATATAAGAACTGTTATTAAAATAAAAAAAAATAAAGAATAAGAATTGGCTTAATAATTATCTCTATCCTAAAATACACAATGCAATATAACATTTAATAATGAGTACTTAACAATTTTTTGATAAGGATAGTAAATTGTCAGAATTCTTTGGAGTTGATTTTATGTTAACGGATGACTTGTAAATTTATGTCTTAGAAGTTAATTCAAATCCTTAATTATTGAAAACTATACCATATAGAGTTATATAGAACACAAAATTAGTCAATGATATCATAGAAATATAAATATCATATCTGAGAAGCAAATATATTAGATTGAAATTATTGATTAAGAAGATCCTTTCAAGAAAATCAACTATTAAAAAGTTTACAAAGGAATTTAAAGAAGCTTATAAAGATAAACTTGAGCCTCAATTCCAAATTAGTTCTTAAAATCTGTTTAGAAAAATTATTGATAAAAATTTGAAAGATTCAAAGGCATATAATGATCTGATTTAAAAATAATGTATATTATGAATTTTTATAACATAATTTGTTATTTTTTTAGTACTGTCATTTTAATAGCAACTAAGTTTCTATTTCAAAGATTTGTGTAGTACAAAAATTACACAACTGTATTAACCTTAATGAAACACTTTAATCATATTGTTTATTTGACTGCATCTTAATAAGAAATTGAATATTGTGCTATTTCGGATACATATAAATATTATCATCCAGATACTGTAGAAGAATTCATAACTTAATATTCTGATACAAAACCTAGAATTTAATCATCAATATACTATGTACCTGATTAAACAATAGCTTATAATAAAAACATTTGTGTATTTCAAAAGTTTGCACAAATTTCTTATTATCAATTATCTGATAATTGTCATATCAAACTAGGAATAAATTTTGATATGCCAAACATCAAATTTGCTTCATTTTTATTTGTAGCTTCAACTGATCCTTTAATAGTTTATTTTTACAATAAAATAGTCATTAATGACTAATATACTATGCTAATAAATAATGTATAAAATCAATTAGGTAATTCATAATTGGATTATAAATTGAGATAATTTTGGATTTAAGTAATAGAATCTCATCATTTTCCTGTTAATTTTAAACGTTCTTAATTAATTTAAGTTAATTTTGAGTAGTATAATGGAGTTTTAAGAGTTTCTTCAATAAATAATAATGTTATTCATCCTGAAGTTCTAAAAGAAGCTTATTAAATGGATAAGAGAATGATATTAAGTAAATATGTAAACATTAGAAATCTAATTAAAAAAAAGTTAAAAGATTTTAAGATGCAAGAGAGTATTTTCATAGCATTGCAACAATTAACTAAAGATAAAGCACAGATTTAAAAAGAAGAAGATTCATTTCAAATTCTAATAGATTATAATAGAATAGGCAATAGAGTTTATAATTATATAGAGTCAACATGTCCATGATTTATATATATAAATTATAATAAGTTAACCTTCTTCTATTTGGATTTAATTAAAGATTTTTATATATATATTCTTGAAATTTAGATAAATTTTTTAATAGTGAATTAATTTTAAGAATAAGTATTATAATAGTGTTTAAATATTAAAATAAATTAAATAATTATGTTGTTAATTTGGTTGATGCATTTCGATTATAGATGGTGTTGGAGAAAAAGCATTCCATTTTTTAATTATTTTTGGATTTTGACTGCGGCTATAAAATTTTTGCAATTAATTCAATGTTTAAATTAATACCGAAACATTATATTAATAATTTAAGCAGTTCTTGCAATGAAATTACACCTTGCAATAATGAGGAAGAAAAATGAAAGGAATATTGAATAATATAAAAAAAGAATAGATGTAACAAGAGAAATGACATAATGGATATAAAAAAAAGTGTTAAAGACTATAACTGGAAAAAGTGCATTTCTTTTTTCATGTTTAGATATATTTTGGATATATGAGGATTTATTTGCATTTTTAACAGTAGCTCCAGTAATTTTGATTTTAGGGATATATGCAATAATAAAAATATCAGCACTTGTTCTAAGTTGGGCATATCCAGAATTGTATATAAAGATAAATAGAAAATTAGATTGATTTATATAATATTATTTTTTAAATGAAAGTACAACTAATCATTTTGGTAATTAATCAGGAAATAATTCTGAAACTAAATGTAAAGGATCTTAATAATTTGTAAAAGAGTTGATTTTTAATAATTATGAATTGAGTTCTCTAACATCAGTGACCATTCTAAATTTCATTAAATAGTTTTATAAGTATAATAATTCCTAGATTAGAATAAATAGTTTACTTAATCTTATTTATTATCATAATATGCAATAATAGGAACTCCATTATCAATTTATTACCCAAATGAGTAACTAGCATTATCAATCAAGAGAATATTAGATAATTTTCTATTACCTAAGACTCTATAGATAAATAATGATAATACCTTAAATCCTTAACATATGCACCTTCTTCAGTTTATAAACAATGATCTCGAAATAGCCTATGGCTGATCAATTGTTTTTTCGGATCTAAGTAATCTAAAACAATATTAGCATAACATGAATGGGAAGCAGTAAAGACAATGATTTCAAAATGTCGAGATAAAGTTTAAAGAATTTATTAAGCAAAAGGTCTAATATTGATGGATGCTTAAATAGTTTCTCCAGTAGGAAAAGTAATAGGTAAGACAATATCTCCAGGTACTGCAATACTTTCATTACAATGAATCAAAGTTTCATCCAAATCAAATACTAAAGTTTTGAGATGATTAGATTTCGGTAAATTTATAACTTTATCATCTTAAAATTATAATTATAAATTTTTAGCATATTCCAAACCCTAATTTACTAATTAAAATACTTACTTAAATAGTTTAAACAATATGATCTCTTATAACTTCATCATTTTTGCTCACTTATTCTTAAACTAATGTTCGTACAACACTTGAAATATAATACATAAACTAGAGTAATTTTAATAATTACATTATCATCTTTTTTAGACTTTTGTGATGAATGTGATTTTTCATTTATAACTGCCTTAGTAATTGGAATAGTACTTTAATTAATTTCTAAAGATTAATGTCTACTCAATTAAGATTGTTATTATTAGATTGGTTTTTTTATTTATTTAACTTATGTAACAAATTGATCTAAATTTATGCTTGATTATTAATCTTTTGCAATTTAACTCTATTTTAAAGCTTTATTAAGTTATAGATTTAAAGCTGTGGCACATTTTGTTAATTCTTTTGGTGTAGTACTTTCTTTAGGTTCACAATTTTCTTAATCTTTTTTCTAAAAAAATTTAGCTGCTAAACCGATAGGTTTTTATTTTGCTCTTTCTGTTTATTTCTATAATTAAGAATTACTAATTTCAATATTAGATTTAATTTTGTTAATCTTGTTTTCTAAAAATAACAATTTTTCGTGTAATTTTTTATATTCTGATTAATCAATTTATTTGTTTGCCAACTGTTAATTAGATTAAGATTTGACAAGATTATTATCTGGAACCTATTTCAATGAATAATATCTTGATTAAGGTGTAGCTTATTATGGTTGAATATATGTAGAATTCTTTAATTCTTTAAATGAACATCTTGATGGTTACTTCTAATTAGAAAAAGCTCTCTTATCATTAGATGCTGAAGATGGTCTTGGAACAACTTATACTGAAGGTTGTCTAGGTTAGGAAGAATTGGGACGCATTTCTGGTTTTTGAAGTGTCTAAGTAGATTGATATTATGGATAAGCTTGTATTGGTTTTCGTTTTTGTAATTATGCATATGAATTCTCTTTATCAGGTGTCTATTTGAACGATTAACGGAAAGAGTCTTATAATACAGGTCTCTACACAAATTATGGTACTCGTTGCATTCAGTTTAAATTTTGTTAAATTAAAAAAAGTCTGTTTAATTTAATATAATCTCTCTACATTTTCTTCATTTAGAAAATCGTCATTAACAATTCTAATATATACATATATTAGATCATAATAATGATTTATTCTAATATTTTAAGATTAGTTAACTATTAAATTTAATAAGTTATTATAAGTGACATTTATATTTTTTTATTAATAATTTAAAATGAGTTAGCTGCTGGAAAGTAATTTGTTTGAATTTATTTAGGCTTAATCTAACAATTTATAAGAGAAGGAGATGAAAAATAGAGTGAATAAATTAGTCGTTAAGTAATGTAAAAACATCCTGTTGTTTATTTATGTAAATGTTCTGAGATTTTAGATGAAGTACTTATTAAATTTATTTTTAGATGACTGATATTAATAATGAATATATTAGAGTATTAAGATTAACACTCTAAGTTGCTGGATTATTAACTAGAACAGAAGATGCTAAATTAGCAGTCATTCAATGTACATAAGTCTTAAAACGAATTATTAATCGAATACTTAGTCAACCATAAATTTCAGAAGAACTAAATTAATTGCTGACTGATATCCATATTAAATTAATGGATATTTTTGATGAATTGATCATTAATCATATATCTGATTTTTTTGAATCAGGACGTGTTCCTGAAATAGTTATTTTGAAGATCATTTAATAGATATTTGAATCTCAAAGTAATGTTTTAATTAAGATTATTTAGGTAAAGAATACTTTAGACAATTTTCATATGAAATCTTACAAAAAATCCTATCCTCTCTTTCTCTTGTTAAAACTGATTAATGTAGATTAGATTATTGCTCATTGTTATAATCAATATATAAGACACTCAATCATTTTGAAGAGAATTAGATTTAAATAAATTAAGAATAGGTATAAAATGTGAGTTGGTTGATTTTCGATTAAATTATAAAAGATTGGATGTAGACAACTACATAACTTTAAGTTTTATCATTAGTAGGATTCATGAGTTAATTTATATCTAGAGAAAGATTAGAACGTAGTCTTGAACGATTGACATCAGTATATTTAAGTGTATTGAAACAAAAGAACAATTAATTAAGACCATTATTTGAAGGTTTTAACAAATTCTTAGAGAGATTATATTAATTAGATAGAATTGGATATGAAGGAATCATTAAATCAATAATGGTATCATTATATGAATTTTACAAAAATCCTATTTTCTCTCCTAATTATCCATTCGATCCAAATGTTCTAAAGTATAAGAATGATTTATTGACACTTTTATAAACAGTATCTAAGTTTAATATTGATAATTGTTTAGACTTATTTATTGGAAGAATAAATGTATATGTATAAAATTATTTTATAGAGTAAAGACTCTATAGAGAGAGTTTCATGTCTTTGGATTTGCAATTTCATTCTATCTAGAAATTTCAAGCAGATCTCAGAACCATATAAAAGACAATTGGTTTTATAATTATTGAATTTGTAATTTGAATAAGATTGTGAAGTACGTTATGCTATTTGTGAAATTATCCTACAAATATATTATAAATTAAAAGATGAAGAATAACCTATCAATTAAACTTATTTAGATGTTAAAGCTTTACTTTTTTATCTTTTTAATCAAGTCTCAATTCATGATAAAGAATTGGAAGAATATGGAAAATAAAGAGTAGTTCCATTTGAAACAACTTTAGAAGTAAGAATCATATTTATATTTTGAAAGCTATTGAAGAGTAGAGCATAAAAAATATTGACAACACTTTCATAAGATCAATACTTTTATGATTTATTATGGCCTATGGGATTAGAAATTATTAATAATCAAAAATTTTCTCCTGGATTATCTCATATTTTTAAATGTTACACTTAAATCTTATAAAAATTAAATATTACAACACACAATTCTCCTGTTGCTTAACATGTTATAGTTGTAAGAATGCTATTACTAATATAAATTCCTTATTTCTTTCCAAATTTAGGATATGAAGCCGTTAATTTCCTCCCTTATTTAATTAAAACATTTGACTTAAAAGTACCAAGTAGTTTTCATTAAAATACTGAATCTTTAAAATAATATTTGATAAATAAAAGACCGTTAGATGAATTTTATGAAGAGAAAGTATAACAAATTTGGAAAGTGTGTTTATCATTGTTCATATAAAATAAAGAGCTCTCTTAAATAGAAGAAGATTTCCAAGTTTAACTTAGTATGTACTTAAATTCACAAGCTTTAAGATTGCCAATTATGAAAATGTAAGCAACCTTAATGAGCTTTCTTACAAACTAAGAAACTATCAAATATAATTTAGACAAATTATTTAGTATATGTCATCAAGAATATACTAATCAAGCTCTTAATCTAAATGTTTCAGTATAGGAACCAGATTTCAATCTTAGACTTTGTGTAGCTGAATGTTTTGGTTATATAGGAGAGAGACATACATAATTAGTATTAGATAAAGTTAAATCTATCTTAAATTGTGAAGTTATACAAAAGAAAAATACAGGTTCTTTTAAAGAAAGTGTTTTATCCATTTTTCAAAAAAGTGGAAGTGATGAATATTTGGCCTCTTTTCGTGCTACACTATTAATTGCCTATGGTTGTCTAGCCAAATAAGTTTCTTTAGAAATCTTAGAGAAAAATATATTACCTAATGTTATGCCATTTATTGGACATGATTAATTATTCAATTCTCTATAAATATCTTTAGAATCAATCAGCAAAGCGATTGAAAGATCAATAGAAAATACTGATGAAGCAGCAGCATCCTCATTTTTATTGAGTTATTAAAAATATAGAGACTAAGTTTTAAATCATTGTTAAAAACATCTCACTAGAGGAAATATATTTAGAAATCTTAATACAATCAATCTATAATATCGTTTAGCACCTATCGAATATAATAAAGCTAAACAATTATTAAGTTAACATTTAGAATCAAAATATGATCTATCAATCGAATAAGTCAATATCACATTCTAAAATTGTTTTTTATTGTTTCTAGGAACTATTAAATTAGAAGAAGATTCTCAACATATTTCTGTATGGTAATCTCTATTGTATTTAATTAAATCAATTAAGAGTAATGATTAATTAATTGAAATTTTATAAAGAAGTATATAGAGAGTAAAATTAAAAATGGAATAAAACCATAAGAATTATTTTAAAGTAATTTTAACATTGCTCTCCATATTATATCGTAATACAAGTTCAAAAAGATCTGTAGTTTTGATATTAGAAAAGGTTATGTTATCCTTGGGAGTTTATTTAGACATTTATTAAAAAACTGATGATGAATTTAATTCTTAATTGATCAAATCTTTAAGAGAAAAATTGCATCTTAATGAATTATCAATCTTAATGTAGGAATTATAAAATCTCATCAGTGAACCTATAGTAGAATCATTACATGGTTTTGTTTCTCTAATATAATGCATCTATTAAAGTGATTACAGTGATTTAAATAGAGTTTTGAGTTTATTGTAATCAATTTGCTAATAAGGTACTGGATCATCTTCAGAAGAGTTAATGTAAAGATAGTATTTCTATATAATAGTAATTCTAATTTAAGCAAGGCAATGGATTTATTAGCTTAAAATAATTTGAGTGATTCTTTGTAAATACTTTTAGATAATTAATCAGAATTTCCAGTGGGAACATTTTCAAAATTATTTTTAAATTGTGTGAGTTAGAAGAAACCATTTATGGTATAAAGTTTTAAATTTTTAACAGATGTTTTAAATAATCCAGAAGGAAGTATTTAAATTATAATATTTTTTTAGTAATTACTGGAGATATTGGAAATTATTTAGTTAATGCTTCTTTATTTATAGGATAATTGTTAATTGATGAAAATAAAATCTTGACTGAGATGTTACCAAAATCGATGGCAAGTATTTTAGGTACTTTCTTGTTAAGATTTATGACTTGTCATGATCCAAAATTATCTGGATAATCTTAATCAGTTTAAACTGCCATATGGGCATTTTAAAATTTTTTGAATATTTGCAATATTGAAGGAATATCATAGCATGTATTCAAAAAATTGTTAATTGAAGAAGAAGTTGAAGATGGTGTATAAGAGATTGTAATGATATATTGTAAAGGGGTTTCATTTTCAGATTAGTAGAAACTATTTAATTTTATTAAGGGATTTACTAATAAAGAATAAGCATCATATAGATTAGGAGCAATAGTTGTTATAAATTAATTCATTAGAAGTTATAAGAAAGAATACGCACAATAGAATATTTATGAGAATCTATTGAAAACTCTATTAGAATCTGCTGAAGATGATAGTGATAATGTAAGAGCTTAAGTAGCAATTGGATTGGGAGGATTATCATACTATTTAAAGGCAGATGAAACAATTGATAAAGTACTATTATAGGAGATTATTGAATGTCTCATAAGTTTATTAGATGATTAATAAGAAATCTGTGTAAGGAGTGCCATGATTAGTTTATAGAATTTGGTTGATTCATAAACAGATTTTGTTGCATATATACCTTAATTGATATTAACAACAACATCTAATTTTGAGAAAACAATGACAAAGATCAGAATATCTGCATTCTCTCTTTTCTCAAAATTATGTAATACTTGTTTTGTAGAGGATATAATGAATGAATAAATTATGTCATATATAAGATAAGCATTAGTTTCAGTTATGCTTCATTTATTAGATGAAAGTGTTCAAGTCAGATAAGTATGTAAACTGGCTTTAGAATCTATTGGCAATTTACTTTAAGCTCCACATCTCAAGTAAATAGATTTTATATTAAATCTAGATAATTATCTAACAATGAAATTGAAAGTGAACTTGAAATGACTCATTTAGATGAAAATGAAATGATCATTATGATAATGAGTATCAATTTAGAATAAGAACATCTAAATGTATAATTTAATCTTTATATTCTTTTTTTAGATCTACATCAAATCATTAATTGAGTTTTGCAAGAGTCCAGAACATAATATAAAGGGAGCTGCTTTATTTAGTTTAATTATTTTGTTAGCATTTAGAGAAGTTGGAGATTATAGACCACAAATAGAATAATTATGTAAAGAGAATAGCAAAGCTAAATTAATTACAAAATAATTAGTAATGAAGGCAGCATACTATTTATGATACCTTTCAAAAATATCTATATACATTGTATATAATATTATAATTTGGTCATATTAAATTTTAATTAAATAAACAATGAAAAATTAAATTAAAAAAACAAATATAATTGTAGAATATATATTTTATTATTCATGGTTTCATTTTATCCATCATTTCTATAAATTCATTGTAATCAATTTCTCCATCACCATCTTGGTCTGCATCTGCTATTAATGCTTTAAAACTATTATCATCAAATCCAGAGCCATTTTCTAGAATTCAATAATTTAAATTACATCCTAAAACTTATTTTAATTCTTCTCTTGATATCTTCCCACTTCCATCCAAATCAAACATCTTAAATGCTTAAAATAATTTCTCTTATTTCATATAAACACTTTTCTCTATTGTAGCTGCCAAAAACTCTAATTAATAGATATATTAATTACCAGTATAATTTATTGTACCTGAACCATCAGTATCTATACTTTTTATAACACTCATAATTTCTTTTTATGATTCCTTCTTCATACCTGTCAAACCATTAGTTAATTCTTCCATTGTTAATACACCATCACCATTCTTATCTAATTATTTAAATAACTTTCCTAATACAGATATTTCCTATTCTGATAATTAAGAAGCTATATAAGTTAATGTAACCTAAATTATTACTAAATTCCAACCTTTTTTAATTTATTAAAATTTGTAAAATTCTTTAATGACTGATAATTTACACTTAAAAAAGAACCTGGAGCTGATTACTATTTCATCCATGGATGTTAAAGTATTTCATGAGATTTTAAACGTCTTTCTGGTTTGCATATCATTTTTGAAATTAAATCCTTTGCACCTTCAGAAACCTTTTTGAATTCAGGAACTAAATAAATATAATCATTATATATATATACTATTAAATGTAAAAATCCCTTTTTTAACTGCATCCAATATCTCTGGATCTGTGTTTCCATAAAATGGAGGTACACCAGATAAAAGTATATATAATATAACACCAGCTGCCCATATATCACAAGATTCATCATATTTACCATCTAAAATTTCAGGAGATATATAATAAGGTGTTCCTGCTCTAGTTGTCATACTAACCTTTCCTTAACTTAATTTTTAAACATGATTATCATGGAAGATAATTGATAATCCAAAATCTATTACTTTTAATGGAGAATCATCAGCCTTTGTTAATAATAAAAAGTTTTCAGGTTTCAAATCTCTATGACAAATTCCATTTTAATGACAATAATTTACAGCTTACATTATTTATAAAATTGTTATTCTTGCTTCATTCTCAGAAAAATGACCTTTATCAATTATCCTATCAAATAATTCACCTCCTTCACATATTCTAATATCATTATTATTATTACTCCATTACTAAATACACATTTCTAACATCTTCGAATGTCTCAAATAATTTTATGATATTTGGATGATCCTTATTATATTCTATCATTCATACTAAATTTCGCATTATTTCTATCTCTCTTCTAAAACGATCAGGATTTCTAACTTTGCTTTTTGGTATTATCTTGATAGCTCTAAAATATTTTGAACCCTTTAATTTAGCTTTTACAACCTAACCATAAGTCCCTTAACCAAGTAGCTTATATGTTACTTCTATTTAATACCTTTTTATGATCAAATTCATAAACATCTTCAATTTTCGATGTTGAAGATTTTATGAACCATTATTTTTTTATTACTATATTGTTATCCATATTAAATTAATTATTGTATATCATTTAAAATAAAATTCTTTATTATTATACAAATAAGAATTACAAAATTCGTGAAATAATATTAAATCATCAATTAGGAAGGTATTTTTATAAATGAAGCAACAATTATGGATTCTTCACTTTGACTAATTCATGTATCTGAAAGCAAAATAAAAAAATATATTTACATCTTTTATTTTGGCATTTAATATCTAAAACTTAGATTTGACTGCTCCATGTTTATAGTACACATGCTATTTAATGATTTCTTCATCTCCAGCAATCATTTCAAAAGTTATTAAAGTCAATTCTTTGTACTCCAATGTTTAAATAATACTCACTTATGCTCTTGCATTTTGCTAAATATATAATATGGGTGCAAAACTTGCCATATATAATCAATTTATTTACTGCTATTATTCTAATTAACATCTCTTGAATGTTTTAACGCATACTTCTGGATACCCAAAGAAATCTGTATTGAGCTTTTAATTTGTTTTAACAACTTGAAAATTGTCTTTATCAACTGTGTGAAAATAATAGAAAAATAGATCATTCTCACTTGACAACTCTAAAGTTAATTGCTATAAGTCTTTGCCACTACCCTTTTTTGATAATTTAAAATTTTCAATACCAAAATCATAATTCTAACTCTGATAGTTTCAACAATGCTTTAATCTTCTTAGTCTGGAAATTTTATCATGAAGGGGATCTCTTAATTGAAAATTATCTTATATCCTCCTTGTATACAGGGATCTAAGCTTTCGATTTATGAAAAGTCAATTTGAATTAAGTTTTCTTACATTTAACAATAATTAAAAAATGAAATTCGATTTAGTTGTCTATATTTTTTGTGTATTATTTATTAACACTCAAAGTAATACAGATATCATTTATATCGTATTGAGTAGAAAATTATCAAAAAAATGGTAGATGATTTCAAGGTATTTTTAGAAATATAAATAATAATATTTGTTATATTGATTCTATTCATTGTAGAAATTTCTTAAGAACTTTAGGATCAAAATGCAAATTTCTAAAGTTTCATATTTAAATTATAAGGAAGAGAGAACAAATTTAACCAACTTAAACACAATATTAAAAAGTACTAATCAAACAAAAAAATAAAATGCCATGAATTTTAGAAAGAAACATAAAAATGAATTTTTATTATTTAGAAAATTAGGATAAATATTTATTAGCAATATTCTAGTATTTTAAGAAAACACTTATATGCTCCAATTCGTTATATTTTTAATATATAGATATAATAGTAACTCTATTTAATTTGTAATCAAATTTTCACTAATTGTAATAAACTCTTGGTTAGAATCAAATTTCTGAAATTTATTGATGATTATTTTAGAATTTTAGATATTTAAAAAAGGAATAATTTATAAATGACATACTAAATGAAACATAAATGGTAGTATAAAAAATGAATTATAATAAATTTTATATTAATGAATAAAAGCAGTTTGAGTTCATCAAAAATAAAGCTTTTATCTTCAGGTGCACCAATAGAAGTTGTTCCTAATGAGATAATATTCAAAGATATATAAATAAATTAGACTTATGAAATTGCAGTGTACATAAGAAACTTAACTTAAAATGCCCGTAGAATTAGAGTATTTCAACCTCATTCTCATTTTAGATGTGATTATGAAATGCAAGGGTAAAAGATTTAAAAATATAATTTAGTGCAATAGCTGCTGGACTTTCAATGAAATTAATTGTCACATTTGAAACAGCTACTCTGGAATCATTTGTAGATTCACTAAAGATTGTAACTGATAGTTAGTATAGCATAAATATTCCATTACATGCCTTTCCAGCATAAGCAGCGTATTCGAATAATTATAAATAAGGATGATTTATGAGCCATTCATAAATTTAGGATTTGTGAGAGTAGGAAAAGAGAAAGTTGATAAAATACATTTTAAAAATGAAGGAAAGGCAGCAGGAAGAGTTGAATTGAAATTGGATAAAATTGTAGAATTTAGAATTGAACCAAATTCTTTTACTCTTAATCCAGGATAGGAATTTGCTGTGACTGTATTTTACAAACCAAGAGATGCAGGCATATTTAGAGGAATTATTGAAGTAATTGCAGATGGTTAATAAAGTGGATTAAGCTTAAAAAATCCTATAGATATTAATGCTACATCAATAGAATTTACAAGATTCTTAATTGATTAAAATGGAACTCAAAGTAATTAATTCAATTTTGGAACCATGTTTTATGGATAACAAAAATAAATTGAAGCTTATTTAATAAATAATACACCTAGATAATAGAAGTTTAAGGTTAAATTGAAAAAAGGATTACATGAAAGAGAAGAAACTTTAAAGTTATAGACACCAGCAGAATTAGGACTTGAATAAACAGAAAGAATTATGGAATGTTGGCCAGAAGAAGGTGTTATTGAATAATATTCATAAGTAACAATAATATTTAAATGTAAACCTAAAGTTAATGAGGAATTATAAATGAAAACTCGTCAATATGCATTAAGTCAAGATAAGAAAATGGAATTGGAATAATTTCATTATTCAGCAATTTTTGATTTTAATGATGATGAACCATTAATGAATCATCTTACTGTTAATTGTATCTGCCCTTAAATCAAATTCCCTCCTATTTAAACTTTATCGTTTGGATAGTGTGAAGCTAATTAAACCAAAGATATTGTTTTTGAAGTCTAAAATATGTCGAAAGAATAATCTATACTCATTGGATTTCCAACTATTCCTTATTTTTAAGTTAATCCACAATTAAAATCATTGGCTATCAATGAAAAAGTCAATTTTTGGGTAAGTTTTAGACCAAAACATGTTGGTTAATTTTCTAATATTCTTAATGCTGAACTTCTAGGAGGTGTTTTCAAAATTCCTATTAAAGTTACTGGAATATGCTCATAAATGTTACCAAAACCTTAGCATAGAAAGGGAGCTGAATCTGAAAGAGCAACATTAGAAATCTCTAAAGATAGATCTATATCAGGAATTAATAGAACATCAACAGATTAAGTAGTATAATCATTTGAAATGTCTTAATCATTAGTTTCATTGTCTTAATTAAGTGTAGATAAGATTGAAGAGATGAAAAGACATAATAAGGATAAATACAATGAATATTTGAAATAGCATAGAGAATAAAGAATCAAAAAGGATAAAGATTCATAAATAAAAGAGAAATTTAAATAGATGACAGAGAGGATGAATCAGATTAAAAATGAATCTTTAATTTTGAAGAAAAAGAAATAATAAACAACAGTAGAAGAAAAACTTGATCCTCCAATTGATTATGAATTTGCAGTAGGAATGAGGGAGGATGTTTACGAATAAGATTTAAATTTACCAGATGCTAATGAATCTTTATTTGTGACTAAACCAATATATCATTATGAACCATAGACAAGAGTAAAAGAGGGTAATGTTATAAAACCATTTGATCCTGATCCGAAAACAGTTCCAAAAAAGAAATTTCCAAGTGAACCTAAAACTCATAGTGAAATAAGAGATACAACTTAGGAATTGAATTCTTAGTAATTACTAAAGATTTGTGCAGGACCAGTGAAAATGGAATTTGGTAATATTTTTGTGAAATCTATGGCAATAAAATATTTTTATGTACGAAATGAATTACGTAATTCAATAGCTGCTAGAATTTATTCTGATAAAGAAGATTTGGCAAATTCATATATGAAAACATAAATTGTTCCAAGTGGTTAGACTGCTGGGTTTGATATTTGTATATGTTCTAAACAATTAGGATTGTTTAAATCACATTTAAAATATATTATAAATGAAAAACACATTTTTGAAATTTAGGTAGGAGCAATGGTTGAAAAAGTATTTTTAGAAATGAGTAGATAATAATTGAAATTAACATTTACAGAAGATAATGCAGAAATGGAGACTTCTGAAATATTAAGATTAACTAATAATGGAAATGCCGAAGCAAAATTTAAATGGATGACATCAGATAAGAAACTTTTCTTTGTTAAGCCAGAAGAAGGAATAGTTGCATCTGGAAAATATATTGAATGTTAAGTATTTTATCGTCCTTCTTTTGGAGGAAACATCTAATATATTCAATAATCAACAGGATAACAATAATAATAATAATATACAGTAGCAACAACAAAAACAGAAGAAGAAAAGATTATACTAAAAACAGAGGAAGGTATCGATTAAACAGTTAAATGTATTGGTATAGTAACAGAACCAAAATGTTCAGTTAAATAAGGTTCATTAGATTTCAAAGATGTTATAATATGTAAGGCTGAATCCAAATTAATTAGTATAAAAAATCATTCAAAATCTACAGCAGTATTTTCAATAAAATCATAAATTGAATGTTTAGAAATAATACCAATGAAAGGTAAGATTTTATCTGAAGAAACTAAAGATATTTAAGTTAAATTCTTTAGTAAAGAAGAGAAAACAATAAAGGGAGATATTGTAATTCAAATAAGAGGTGGTAAAATAATTAATATTCCATTCTCTGCTACATCTATAATACCAAAAATAGAAATTGAACAAGATATTTTTGAATTTGGAAATGTCACAACTCTAGGAACTAGTAATTAAATTCCATTAACATTTATTAATTCATCTCCTGTTAGTGTAGAATTGATCTTAGATTTAAGAACATCAAATGATAATCCTAAAGCTCCTGATGGAATTGAATGTTTAGAAATCAAACCATAAGATGAAGAAGAATAATTTATGCATTCTATACATCCTGATTAAGAAGAAGATGAACCAAAAGAAGAAGAACCTTTAGATGATGATGATAATGTCTCTGATAAATCTGAACCTATTGAAATTGAATAGAAGTAATTCAAACAATATAATATCACTATTGCGGGTGGCAAGACTCTTTAATTTCATATGAGATTCTCACCTAAGGAAGTTAAATAATATTCTTTTGAGATTCCTATTACATTAGCTAAATATGGACCATTACCTTCATTAATGAGAAAAGTAACATGTAGAGGACTTAAACCTAAATTTTTGGTAGAACCACAATTAATTGAATTCAAAAAGAAAATTATCACATCACCAGATAAGTGTTTCCCAACTATTGAAGAAATTAAATTATCAAATCCAGATAGAAAAGAAGTTCATTGGAAAATTGATTGTTAATCACTAAAATCAGAAAAGATCTTTGCAATTGAACCTAATGAAGGTGTTGTTCCAAGTGGATAATAAATTAAAATTAGAGTTAAATTTAATCCTTATGGTCCTGGATCCTTTCATGGAACAGTATAATTATACATATTGGAAGATCCAGAGATTCCCTAAACATTACCTTATGTTGAAATCACTATGAGTGGATCGGGAGCTTATCCAAGATTACTATTTGACAAAAAAGAAGTAATCTTACCTATTGTA